CATTCCTCTTTTCTTTTCAGGGAAGTGGGTTGGCTCTGACTACAAGTGGGACTCTCTTCCTGAGTATCATTTAGGAGCTCTCCCCTCAGTAGTTCCTGACTCTGATCACAACTGAATCTGGTGAGCTCCCCTCTGTTAGTCTGAGGGTCCTGAGTTTCTAGGGACACTCCTTCTTTTGGGGTTCCAATCCAGAATTTTCTGCCAAGTCTTCCAGGTCTCCAGGCCATGCTTACAGTTTCTCTGTGGAGGAGCATGGCCAGGTTTCCAGGCTGCCTCCAGGGCTTAGTCCAGGAGCCTCTAGAGCAGGGGTGGAGAATCGGAGATCTCCAGGCCACATGTGGCCTTCTAGGTCCTTCAGTGTGACTTTTGGACTGAGCAAGTTTTACAGCATCAATCCTTTGCTGAAGGGGATTGATTCTGAGAACTCCAGACGCGCTGGAGGACCTAGTGGACCACATATGTCCTGAAGGCCCACAGGTGGCCCAGCCATGCCTTGGATTCTTGGGGCCACAAGCTGGACTGATGGTGACCAGCCTGCCTCAGCAGGGCTTCCTCCTGCAGCTCTTCCAAGTCCAAACTGACAACCATTGTAAGGACTGAGACCAAAGAAGACTGCCTAATTCATGAGCACCATATGAACCTAGTGGTGATGGAGGTCTGACAGGGAGACATCTTCCACCGGACCTGTCAAAGGGCAGTATGTCACCTGGCATAACAACATGAGTGCCTTTCAAAAAGCCAAGTTTTCTCCTTCCACTTTACCCCAAGGACTGTCCATACAAGCCCAGTTCTCCTCTTCTTGGGTGCCCAGTGGCAGGGGGTGGAGGTGGGAGGGAGAAGAGTGTTTTAGTTGTTTCATTTGCCACTCAGGGAGGGTCTCCCAGGAGCCTGGGGTGGGGAAGGGCAGGCGCTAATGTCTCCTCCTTCACCTTGATAAAATCCAGCAGCTTTTGAACTTGGAAGAAGTTGCTCCTCTTTGTCTTGGGGATGTTGTTGCTTGTGGGTTTTCAGGGTTATGGTGAGCTTTGAGGAGTACCCAGAGTAGCCACTCCAATAGGGTGGGAAGGACAAAAGCTTGGGGACAGGGCTGCCAAAGGAAAGTTTGGAAGACAGAGCTTTGAAGAGGATCCTTTAAGGAGCTAAAGGCACCGAAGAACTGGGAAAATGGACCCGGGCCACATATGAGCAAGCTCTCGTGCCTCAAATGTAAGAGTTCTGTGCTGTCTGTCCTTCTCCTCTCCATCCAATCCAACAAACCTTTATTGTTCATCTTGCATATGCAGGCTTCAGAGCTGCATGCTTCAAGGTCAGGGTGGCCATCCTTCCTACCTTGAGCATGTCAGGGACAGGGAGGTGATTTATCTGTACCCTCAGTGGTCACTGACCTGGCACCTGAGGCTGGGAGATTGGTAGAGGAGCTGAGTCAGGAAGGAATCTGTTATGTGAGCTAGACATACAGCCAATGCCAGGTCTGGAGGGCCTTGCCCTTTGTCATTGGTGAGAACAGAGAGGGCGTTCCTCCCTACATGATCCCAAAAGGGCTACACTCTTGGACAGGAGCCATGACATCACTCAGGGATCACTTGACCACTATGACATCAAGTCTGGCTCTGGAATGATGACACCACAAGCAGATGGTCACCAGGGGCTGTCTGCAGTCAGCCTCTCTGTAGAGCATTCTGGTCCTCATTCAAAAGGGACAGGGCCAAGTGTCGACCAGGCTTGGGACCACAAGGCAGCACTTGTGGGTTCAGTCTCCATGTCCTCTCTCCAGCTGAAACTTATCCCTTATTTTTGCTATCATCCAAAAGTATTTCATGACTTCTGAGAGGATCATGAGAGAGGGAACCCTTTCCTGAAGACTCTTTGGGTGAAGATGGCTCTAGCCATAGCCTTCCAGATCATGGAGCCCCTAGCCCATCTGCCTTCCTTGGGCTGGGATCCTAGCTCACATAGATGTGACACTGCCATACTCAGTCTGGATGGAAGTCCTCACCCTGGACTTCTTTCCCTTCTGGCACCTCAGCCTCTGCCTCAATTAGCCTTTCCTCCCATCTTCTAGGTGGTTGGTATTTCTACCCCGGTGGCCTACAGACCTTCCACCGTGCTATGCTCTCCTGGTGGGCAGCCAAGGGCAGCAGCAGGAGAGAGGACTGTTGGGAATCAGGATAGTCCCCCTCATATTTCCAGGTGAGTGTCCAGCTGAGTGTCAGGAAGGCTTTGCACAAGATGGGCAGACAACCCGCTCACAATCTATTTCATTCTTCTCAACCCAGTGTGGGAGACAGGATCAAAGTTCAAGCTTTGCCACTTGCTGACTTTCAGACATTGGGCAATTCAGTGTCTGCCTCTCTAAGACTCAGCCCCATCATTTCCCCACTTCAGTTGAAATCAGTTGCCTCCCACAAGAGGCCTTCCCTAGCACCTTGTCACACAGTGGGGTGACCCTGGGAACCCGGGAGTCTCCAACAGTTCTCCAGCACAGCCCAGACTAGCACACTTTACCAAGCTGGGAAGACATGAAGGCCATTTGCAGATCATGTTGGCTGCCCAGCAGCAGCTTATCCACCAGGTGATTTGATTTTGAGCAATGATGAGCTTGCAGGCAGATAAAAAATCAAACAATAACAGAAAAAAAACCCTGAATTTATACCAGACTTTATACATACATTAATACATACACACACACAGACATTCACACACACACACACATACACACACAAACACACATTTCTCAGTGACTTTATTAGAGTAATTTCTTATTTTGCTTCCTATCACCCACATTTCTCAGAATAGCCTCTCCATCTCCCCCTCCCACAGAGCTATCCCTTAAACAAAAGAATAAAACAGATGGGAAAAAAAAGAGTTCAGGAAAACCAACCAACTCAGCACCAGAGTCCTGCCTTCTGTGCAGATTCCATGCCAGTAGACTTTCAGCCCAGCATTAGGAGAAGGGAAGAATGTCCTCCTTGATCATCTCTGGGGCCATGCTCGGACATAATCTTTTCACAACATTTAGTTCAGGATGTTGCTTATTCATTCCATTCTCATGGTTGTCTGTGGTGCTTGTTTATCTTGTAGTCTTCATTCATTTCTTTCACTTTGCTGTAGTTCGTGTAAGTCTTGTCCTGTGTATCTATATAAAACCCAGTTGTGGTTTCTTATACCATGAGAATATTTCACTGTATCCATAAGCCACAGTTGGTTTAGCCATTCCCTGCGGGTATTGACAACCCAAGGACTTTCTTGGTAGTTAGATTGGTATGACACGAATAAGTAAGTTAATTTTAGGTACTTTTGTCCCTTTCATTTTATTGGCTTGATGTACCCATGAGCAATGAATATGTCTCCAATTGATGAGAATTGTCTGTGTGTGAAGGATGTTTTGTAATTGCATTCCTGGATTTCCTGTGTGTGTCTAGCAGGTACACTCCAAGTATTGTATGACCACAGTTTTCAATGGAATTTCTCTATCTTTCTGCTGGATTTTCTTAGTTGATGTATGGAAATGCTGATGGTTTTCATGGGTTTCTTTTCGATCCTGCAATTTGGTTGAAGAATTGTTTTAATGATTTCTTTTGTTGACTCTCTAGGATTCTCCGGGTAAAGGTTGGTGTTTTCCTCGGTCTCATTGTGTCCTCTTTTTCCTTACAGGAGCTGGAAAGCGGGGTGGTGCACAAGACATCTGAGTGGCACAGGTAAGGCCCCAAATGACTGGCAAAGAGAAAAGGAGGGAAGGAGGGGTCGAAAGCTAGAGCAGAGCGAGCACAAGTGACATTCCGTGGGAGAGGTGGTCAGTGGAGCCAGAAGCCTTGGGTGAGCATGTGCATAGGATGGATCCAAACTGAAGCAGACCTCAGAGAACAGTTGAAGGTACTGAGGCCTGGGAGGGAAATGGTGTGCCCAGGGTCTCGCAGGGAGTGGATGTCAGCAAAGACTTTCAGCCAGGCCTCTGACTCTGTCCTTTCGCACTGAGTCATGGTTGTGTTCAGGAGAACCCCTTCAGTTCCATTTCCTGGCCTCTGTTTGACTCCATCCTCCAGTGCCTATTCTCCAGCTTGACCTTGCCCTTTCTTTTTGTCATTGGCTAGTTCTTCCCAAGAAGGCTTTGTGGAAAAAGGCCAAAGCAGATGGGTTCCCTAGAGGCCCAGCTGGTTGGCCTGAGGCAGGAGCTAGTGGCCTTGAGCCAGAGCCAGGCTGAGGTGGAGAAAGAATCACACCTTGGGCCAGAGAAGATGGTGGCCCTGCGCAATGAGGTGAGTCCTCCCATCCCCGACTTAGGCCACCTGCATCTCTCCATCTAAATTGGGCTATGTCAGCCAAGGGAGGTACCACCCTCGAAGCTGTCCACTGGGCGCTTCCCATACATGTAGGCCTACTGGGTGGACTTTGTGATATGGACAGGACATTCCTCATCTGTTACCTGGGAGAATAACAGCCCCTAGAGGGTTCAATGAGATTATTAAGCAGTGGAGAAATGCCAGTCTCTTGGTTCACCAACCCTTCCCTGACACCAAGCTGGCATGTGCTGACCCCAGAACTCAGAGTGACTCTAGACACCCAGGCCCCCTGTCCAGGCCCTCTTGCTTCCTCATTTCTGCTGGTGCTCAGGGCTTTGCTGAGCTCTTTCGTCTGGTGGCTTCTAGGTGGAGTCTAAGGTCCCTGGCTGGATTCAGCAGGTCCTTCATTTGAAGCTAGGGGAGTGCAGGCCCAGCTTCGTGACCTAGAGCACCGAATCCTGAGGTATGTGACAGAGGAGCAGGATAAGTGTGCGGGCAAAGCTGCTGCCATCTTGAGGCTGAGCCTTGTGAAGGAAGGAGTGACCAGCGGGGTGACAAAGGAGGTGAGGTCTGCCCCACTCGCTATCTTCCTGGCTGGGGTCACTGGTTTGCCCTGAGAGGAGCCTGCCAGGAGGGAGGGGGAAACCCTGGCAGACCAGGTAGCTCACTTGCCCGGCCCCGCATGGACTGGGCCAGCCCTGCAGGTGGCCCATCCCCTGAATGGTGCTTGCCTGTCTTTTAGAAGTACACCAGATCGTAGAGCAGGCACTGAAAAAGTACAGTGCAGATCGCATCGGGCTGGTGGATTATGCCCTGGAATCTTCAGGTAGGTGGCCTGCAGAAAGCCAGAGGGCTTGGGACAAAAGGGATTGGAAAATCAAGATGGACTTGAAGAGACAGGAGGAATTGACAAATGAAGATGCCCCTTATGGGCCGGGGCAGTTAGGAGGGCTGATGGCCAGGCAGCGCCCCTCACCTTGAGGGCTCCCTCAGGCCATCTCTGGGTCCTCCCAGCCCTCAGGTCTCCCCCACTCCTTTCCCTGTTGCTCTTTCAGGGGCCAGCATCGTCAGCCGCCGCTCGTCACAGACCTATGGCATGAGGACGGAGTGGTCTGGCCATTTCACTCTTTTTGGCATCCCCTTGTGGCGCTATTTCCAGTCCCCAAGACTCATCCTCCAGGTAGCGCTGAACAAAGGTCCCCCAGCTTGCCTCTCTATGTCCCATGTCTCAGCGTCCTCTGTTGAGGCTGGGCTCCCAAGGCAGAGTGGCCCCACCACCAGGACCTGTTCCATCTGCTGCCTCCTTTCACCTGCCTTGTCTTGTGCCCACAGCCAGACGTCTACCCTGGCAACTGCTGGGCATTCAGGGGCCACCAGGGCTTCGTCGTGGTGCGCTTGTCTGCCCGCATCCAGCTCACTGCCATCACCTTGGAGCACGTGCCAAAAGCTCTGTCCCCAACCGCTGACATCCCCAGTGCCCCAAAGGACTTTGTCATCTTGGTGAGTACCTGAGCCTCCCAGCTCTCCTTTCTAGAGTGGCAGAAAGTGGTTTCTTCACAGCAGCATTGCCAGCTGAGGAATGCGACGGTGTGCCCATTTGACACGTGTGACATTGAGGCTGGTCTCCTGACTCCAGGCCCAGCCCTTCTGCTCCTCCCCCTCTTCTTCAAGAGGAACCAGGAAAGGACAATGACAGCAGCCAGGAGAGCCAAGATGACACTGCTACCACAAGGACCTTTTCCACAGCAAGTTGCCTCCCTGGCCACGTGTGCCATGGTGGAGCTGGTCTGGGACGGTGACCACCATGCCCTACATAGTCACCACTCAGGGCAGAATTGGAACATCCACCTGAGGAGGATTTGAGAGAAAAGAGGGAGCCAGAGCAGAAGGTGACAAATGGAGGCAAGAGGGACACTTTAGGATCCCAATCCAGATACAGATGAAGAACTTGAGGCTCACACGACTTAGTGGCTTGTGCCAAGCCATTCAGAGGCTTAGGGGAAGAAGCTGAGAGGGAGGCCAAGGGCATGGAGGGCAAAGGCTCTGTCTATTGAGTTCGTGAGAGAGATGCTAGCAGATGAGGGGATCAAGGAAGGCAACCTCATGGTGGCTTTTGTTGGTTCTCCTATCCCCTCCCCAACTTATCCTGCTGCTACTGCATCCTCCAGCCTGTCCTCCTCCACCTCTTCCTCCTCCCCCACAGCCTCCCCACTCCTTTCCTTCCCTACATTGTTGGGATGCATGTGCTAACAGCATGCTATTTGTGCACAGGCCTGGCATCCATTCATCTGACCATCCATCCCCTCCCTTTGCTTTTCCTTGTGTACAGGGGCTAAATGAAGATTCTCAGGCAGACGGGGTGGCCCTCGGGCAGTTCACCTACGATAACGCTGGGAGGCCATTCAGACCTTCCACTTGGAGGTATGCAGGGAGGCTCCCACAGCAGTCCGCCAGTGTCCCAGGAAGGCTGGTGATCTGGAAGGCAGGATCACTGGCCACAGGGCTGCTGTGGTTTTTCAGTGGCTGCAGTGGAAGCCAGGACCCCTTGGATCTGATAGGAAGCTGAGGGAAAACCTTGTGACTTAACTGAGCCACTGCTCTTTGAAGGAAGACTGGGGCACAAAGGCTGTGGGGGCAGGGCTTGCACCAAGGGATGTCAGGCCTTCCTGACCCCACTCTCTTCTCCCCACAGGGCAACGACACAGCCCCATACCAGCTGGTAGAGCTGCGAATCCTCAGCAACTGGGGTCACCCTGACTATACGTGCATTTACCGCTTCAGGGTCCATGGGAAGCCTGCCACTTAGCCCCGCCCCAGCCTGCTGCCTTCACCCCTTCCTCCTTCAGCCGCCACAAAGCAGCTCTCTCACCTCCTCCTCCCTGCCCCCGCTTAATCTCTTCTGCCCACTGTGCCTTCTGGGACAGAGACAAAACCTCCGTGGAGCCCTCTTGCCCCACCAGGCCCACTCAGAGATGGAGAAGACAACCGGCTGAGCCTTTGCTTCTCACAAGGCCAACAACCGGCATTTGGGGGAAGTTTTCACCCAAGATCACCTGCAGTGGCATTTAGAAACAGCTCGTCACCATGGGTTGTAGCCATAGCTAGTTGGCCCCTTGTACCCACTGGGGTTTCATTTCCACTGCAGTGGAAGTTAGTACTGTTAGATAGAACATTAGTCGTGGGTTAGATAAAGCAGACAAAGAAGGGGGCTCAGAGTGCAGCCAGGGGCCATGGGGAGAGCGCCTTCCCTTCTCCTACTGCTGCCAGGTTTCTCCTGCCTTCCTCGGCGGCCCAGAGACTCTACATTTCCACTTTAGCCATGCCTTCTTCCACCTCCTGACCTGAAGCTCAGTCGCTGTGGTCTCTCCTTTGGGACCATCAGCTCCAGCTGATATGGCTATGGTGGGGAGGAGACTGGCCAGGGGCCTGAGGAGAAGGGTCCTTGCCTGGCCTCTTGTAGGGTAGGCATTGAGTCAAAGCTGCCCTTTATCCCTGAGCTGCACCTCACATGGCCCAAGTGCCTCTACAGGGAAACAGGGCATTGGAGGCTCATCAGGCTCTTACTCTGACCTCTGAATCTAGTTCCTTTTGAGCTTGGTTAGCATAGGAGCAGGTATTAAGTTTATGGGGATAGGGTTTGGGTTGGGGGGAGCTTTTTGCAGTGAAGGCTGGTGTGGGAGAGGGAAGGCAAATGTTTTGGCCCACTGAACCTCAGATTATTATGTATAGAGATAGAAGTGTTTCTATTGGTACAGAGATGTAGTTCGAGGTTCTTTTTTCTCAGATAGAACAGCTAAGGGCTTCATTTCTGGCTGCCTCCCTGTAGGCCCAGAGTTAAATTCACTGCAGCCCCAGCTTCCCGGGGCAGGGTACCGTCAAGCACTGATGCCCACAATGGCATCACAGTCCTTTCTCCCTCTTACCATCAGGAGGGAAGGCAGCGGTTCACACCACAGGGCTGGCCACTGGGTCCTGAAGCCAGCAGAGGGGCCCACTCTTCTGTAGGTTTCAGGGACCGGCAGCAGTAGGTGCGGGGCTGACCCCAGCTGCCCCTCAGCCCCGTCTGCTCCCTCTGCTTTTGTCCCCTCCCCAGGAAGCTGGCATTTCAGCAGCTCTACATAGGAACCTCCATAGAGGGACTTCGCTCTTCCCATCACAAAAGATGTGGAATTCTCTAGTTGTATTTTGTAATGGATAGATTCTCATTCATGCCTAGGGGAAAAAAACAAAGAATTTTCTCTTGAATCTGTGTTTGCTTTCTATCTACTCCTCACAGGGAGGTTGCTGTTGAAGCCACCTGCTGGAGCAGTGGGGGCAAAGAGGCAGGATTGTGGTGGAAACCACCTGTTCAAAGGGCACCTTCTGTTCTGCTGAGGGAGGCCTGGGGGTAGGGGGAGTGCGCTGGGCAGTAGAGGGAGCCAAGCCCAAGCCCTGTCTTGGAGATCCAGAGCTAGAGAGGGGGCCAGAGGATGCCCAAGGAGGTGGAGCAAATAGTTTTGTAATATTGTTTGAGATCTGGTTCCCCTAGATCTCTTTCTTTCCTACCTTTTTCCCCCCTATATTCCTTGATATTCTTAATCTTTTGTTCCTATAGTTGAATCTTGTTATTTTTGCTAGCCTAACAAATCCTTTGGCAATTAGATTGGTATGGCATAAATAAGTTAATTTAGTTAGAATTGTCTTTGTCACATTGGCATAGCCTAGCAGTTACTATTTCTCCCATTACTTAATTCTGTTTTTATACTCTGAGCTCCTGGGTGTATCTTAGTAGAAAGGACCTCTCCCCCCTCCAAAAAATAACATATATATTTTATGCATTCTGTAGTTATTTTGAATGGAATTTCTCTTTTTATTTCTTCTTGCTGGGTTTCAGTCCTTCATTTTATAGATAGCCAACCACCTACCTAACAGTGAGCACCATTTTTTATGTTTTGTACATATTACCAGTAGTCAGTTTTGTAGTCTTAATTCTATTAATACAAACATTAGCATTGCTAATCACTTGTTCACGCAGTATTTAACATGCTTTATTCTATTAACTCAATGTGGGAGAATTTGGCTCTTAAAATTACTGGCTTTGTGAAGTTCAGACCCTAGCTTGGTCTAGCTCTTTGTAAGTAACCTCTGCTCTTCATGAATTTTTAACAGTTTTCTGTAGCTACTCGAATTCTTTCCCTATAACCATGCCTATTCCTTCCAGGCTTTGCCAGTGGTTTCACGTTTTTAGGACCTAAAGTACGCTGAAGATTTCCTCACTCAAATAATTTTAGGAGCCCTTGAATCCTTCTTTTTAGTGCCATTCAGCTGTAGCTGTTTGTTTGGTAGTAACTATTCCTTTTTACTCTCTTGTACAATTTACAGTTAGTTTAATTTTCTTAGAATTTTCTTTAATACAACAGTTTCCCTTTGGGTTAAGTCCCTCAACTATCATGTACCTTCATGTTAGCTTAATTGCCCTTGCTTTTTAAAGAGTAAACTGCCAACTCTTGCCTCTGTATGTTTCCAGCCTGGTGGTATCTGATCCCTTCTTTCTTCTTTCACTCCTCTGGCATAAATTCTTGCTCACAGGTCTGTGTCTCCATGTATCTTTTTCCTAGTTTACTGTATCCACAAATGCCTTTCAGTAAGTAATCAAGAAAGACATAATTCTCTACCTTTGTGATTATTATTTATTTATACAGTTATTATACTGATTATTAATATACGCATTATACCATATTAATACCATGCTAATTAATCATTACTGCTCATAATAACAGATCAAAAACATAATAATACAGAAACCATGTGGTCAGCACAGACTCCTTTAAGAGGAATGCTCATTTTCCTTGTTAAGTCAGACTGTGTGCTAAATCAGAGAGAGCTGCTTGTTTGCCACAGGTTCATGAAGAACAAGGCTGCATTCTAAGCTTCAACCTGGACTCTCACATCTTTCCTAGATTTTTGTCTGCCTCGTAATTGCCGTAAGTGAATGATTGCCTGGTTGTCTAGTGCTCCTCCAGCCCCTAGACTAAGCAGCAGGGAGCCAAACTGCAGTGGCTGACAGGCAGAAAGCACCTATTAGGTTTGATGTAGAGAATAAGTCCTAGGGAGTTCCTGGGGCGCTGAGGTTTAGTCATGTGCCCAGGGCCACGTAGCCAGTGTCAGAGGATTTGAACGTAGGTATTCTTGACTCCAGACCTGGCACTTTATCCACTATATGTTATGTTATTTTACTGGGATCATTTCTTTTTCTTTCTGTTTTTGGTACAGACATGTGATTCCAGTGGTGTGGACCACTACTGGTGGGGTAACTCCCTTCATTAATACAGATCTGTAATTCATCTGTAACTTAGTTGCGATGGTCTTAGTTGCTTTAGTAACCTGAGAAGTTAACTAGCTTGTCTCCTATAACATAGCTAGTGTGAGAGAGAAGATTTAAATAAAGGTCTTCCTGACTCCAAGGCCACCATTTATCCACTAGACTCCACTACTTGTAGTAGAGGCAAATATAGAGAGTAAAAAAGAAAATAATACTGAAAAGCTCATTCTAAACTAAAAGCTCATATTTAGTTTTCTTAAATCATATAGTCAAAATTTTCCTTACAGGTATTGATATGTCTGTTGCTTTGGTCTGTTATTAATAGGTAATTTTAATAAAGCCTTATAAATTTGAATTTGAAGAAGTACAGGTGGTAGAAATGAAAGCAATTTTTTTTAATTAGCAGATACCACAACTGTTGACATATATGTTTGCTTTTTTTTTTTTTTAACAGGTTTAAGCGGAAATCCTGCAGATATAGAGAGGAGGGAAGCAGTGTTTGGAAAGCACTTTATACCTCCTAAAAAGCCCAAAACATTTCTTCAATTAGTATGGGAAGTATTACAAGATGTTACATTAATTATATTAGAAATTGCAGCCATAGTATCATTGGGCCTTTCTTTTTACCGGCCTCCAGGAGGGAATGATGCACGTAAGTGAACTGACCCCCAAAATTATTTAAAATGTAGTGTTACCTTTAATAAGTAATTATTACGTGGATACTGAGTGTTTTGCTAAAGAATATGAAGGAGAAGGACAGTGGGAAAAGGGCACATTTCTATTCTCCAGTTTTGAATCTTTTGAATACCAGTATTTTGACAAGAACTTAGCCACTTTGCAAGTGTTTTGTCAAATAGTTTGTTTTTCCTTTTCTACTTGCTTTTATAAATATTTTAGTGTGTATGAGTGTTGGTCTTCTTTATTTGATCTTTTAGGGGAATAGTAATGGTGTCAGTATGTGGCAAAGGATATGCATCTTAGTCATTTTAGGGACATAGTTCTAATTGCTTTCCAGAATGGGTGGACTAGTTCACCAACAGTGTCTTAATGTACATATTTTCCCACAACCCTTCCAACATTTTTGTTTTTGTCAACTTTGCCCATCTGATGGGTGTAACACAGAACCTTAGAGTTACTTTAATTTCCATTTCTCTACTTATTAATGATTTTGGACCATTTTAAAATATGGCTATTGTTAGCTTAGAAAACTTCCTCTTTATGTCCTTTGTTTATCACTCAGTGATTCTTGTTTCCTTTAAGAAATAAACTATTAGCTGTTTAAGACATTGCTTAATTTCATCATTTCAAAAAATAATTTTGTTGAAGAGATTATATTATTGATTATTTTCATGCATTATTTTATTGTGTCCCTGAATGAATACTATTACATTCCCCACAGTATTTGTCCCAAACATTCTCTTCTCTCCTCAAATCATCTGAAACTACTCCTCTCTGTTTATAATTTACCAAATAAACTGAGGCTCTCTGTTACTAACACCCTCTTTTCTCCTATTCTGCACCTCAGATTGGCTCAGCAATCTCTCTGTTCTTTTGCTGCAGTTTCTGAGGAAAACATGCTTTTTCTCTCTGCCAGGACCAACCCCAATACTTGTGCACTGAACCTAACTACTTCATCTTCTTTGGGAAATTGCCCCTTCAGTATCATCTTTCTCTTCCTAATCTGAAGTCTTTATCTCTGGCTTCTTCCTTAGGGCCCACAAACATGGTCAGATCTCCTCGATGCTTAAAAATAAACCTTCACTTTACTTTACTCTGACATCTCCTCAACCTATTGTTTGATATCATTCCTATCTTTCACTCAAAAAATCCTAGAAAATCTTCCTCTTCCTCACATACTTCCTAGCCTCTTGCAATCTTAACTCAGCAAGTTTACAAACTGTTCTCTCCAAAATTACCATTAACCTCTTTCATGCTAAATCCAGCGGCCTTTTCTCAGGCCTCTTTCTAGACTTCATTTGACACTGTTGACCACCCCTCCTTGGATACTCATTCTCCAGTGAGTTTTCAAAATAATGCTCACCTACACATCTAAGTGTTCCTCTGTTGTCAGTTTCTTTTGTTGCATTGACTTCTATGTTCTATCCTCTTGGGGGGAGAGGGGTCTAGCGTAGGACTTGTGTCTCTCTAGATTATATTAAACTCCAGTGAAATTCAGTTGTCATCTTAGGTGTAAATCCACATTTCTAGCCTCATGTCCTTCATTCCTGTCCCACATCACCACCTACCTCCTAAATATCACTCTCTAGATATCCCATAGACATTTCAAACTCAACGTGTCCAAAATAAGACTTTATTATCTTCCCAATGAACCCCACTCGGTTGACTGTATTGGTCACTCAGGCTCACAAACTTGGAGTCATCCTTGACTTCACTCTCTCTCACTCCCCATTCACGTCCAGTCAGTTACCCAGTGCTGTTGATTTATGTCCACAACACTTCTCACATTTTTGCCCTTCTCTCTGTTCAAACAGCCACCATCCTGATTAACTTGGATCATTGTAGCAGCCTACTTACTGAGTCCCTGGTTTCTTCCCTAAGCAATGTGTCTTCAACACTTCTATTTAGAGACCAGCCTGACCGTGTCATTCCCTTACTCAAGAATCTTAGATCACTGATGGTGTCTCTACATGGTTCAGTCCCTTCACAATTCAGGTTGAAACTGTATTTTCAGACTGATTTCACATGATCCCTCTCCTTTGCTGATGGTTCCAGACAAACTTGCTGTACCCCATATACCTCATTCCGTTTTCCACCTTTGCCTCTGCCCGCATGTCTAAAATGTATTCCCGTCTCACCTCCACCTAGCTTTTTTCACTCGGCATTAGCTTCTATTGTCTTTTCTGATCTTCTTCAAGGTTGTTTGTTTTCTTTGTCTTTATTCCATCTGTTTTCTTATATGTGTTGTTTTCCTTATAGTAAAATATCCCTCTTGGAGTACAGGGACACATTTCTTTTTTCATCTTTTATCTCAGTACTCAAGCACAGTGCCTGGAACGTAGTAGGTGCTTAATAAATGATTGCTGAATGATTTCTGGAAAAAGTTGGCACAGTACAACTTCACCTTCCTTTCACCCTTCTTCTGTCAACCGTGCTGCTCTTTTCCTGCTTTAGCCTTCATTGGGATGTTTCTACTTACTCAGAGTGTACAAAAGCAGAAGAAAGCTCATCATCTGGAAAGGAACAAGTGACCTAAAATGAATACTTCTAACAGATTAAAATGTAAGAAGATAACTGGCTTTGTTGACTACAGTCATGTTATTATGTTTAGTGAAAAAACAATCTTATCAAAGGTTCTATTCATCATGTCAGTTAAGTTGTACACTGTCTCTTCCCCATTTCTTCCTATATGCTACTGCCAGGTTAAAGCCAAGGCAGTGTCATTACTAGAAAATTACAAAGAAATTGGGCAGGAATGAGTCTTTTGAAGCAGGAATGCTCTACCTCTCCCATTTTCTTTTTAAGCATTGTGTTCTCAAGTTATATTAGTCCCAAATAACTGACTTATAGCCTTCCTTGCCATATTCTTCAGATCTTGGAAGCCTAGTCAAGAGGGTGCTCAGAAATAACGGAATCATAGGGTTAAGGCATGAAGGGACCTTAGGAGACATCTCATTGATGCCTAACTTGAGGTTGGGCTGAGAAGTGGGAAACTTGAAACAGAGGTTGGATATTTGAAGTCAGAAAATATGGTACTTTCCCCAGGCAGATTGCATTCTATTTGAGGATTACTTTGTTACGAACTTGTTCCTTTACATTAATCTGTAATTTTAACTGTGTGTTGGACCCACGCAACTGGTCCTCTTTCTGCTCTTTGTGGTCAGAATGATCCTCATGACAAACCTGCTGGTATTTGAAAACTGTGGTCATGACCCCTCTGTGTCTTCTCAGCTCTGGGTTGAACATCTCCGATTCCTTTAACCAGTGCTCATGGCATGGTTTTAAGTGCTTTTACCATCTTGACTGTCCTCTTCTGGATGTGTTCTAGGTTGTTAATGTCCCATCTGAAATATGATATATCAAACCTGACACTTTGAGATAACATCTGAACTGGGTCAGTTATAGTAGACACTTCCCCTTTCCTCATTATGATCACTGCTTTGATTAATGCAGCCTAAATCACTTTTAACTGTCATTAATATTTAATTGACATACTGTCTGTCTTCAAGTCTTGGATAAAAATATTAATCCTACTCTTTGAATCAGGCAACCAGCTAGTTCCATATCCTGTTAGTTGAATCTCTCTGTCTTGTCCACAGGGATCTCAAAGGAGTCTTTGTCATGTGCCTTGCTACTGTCTAACTAGACTGTGTCTGGGGCATGTGGTCTACTAGTAACCCTGTCAGAAAAGGAATTTGGGTTGGCCTGGAGTCACTTTATTGACAAACCCACACTTGCTAATGTTCCTCTTTCTGAGTGCTCACAAATCATCCTTTTAATAGCCCTTCCTAGGATTTTGACTAGAATGTCAGGTTCACTGGCCTGACATTTCTCAGGAATCCATGTTTTGAAAAACCACATGAAATTCTTCAGTCCTGGCACCCTTCTCCTGTTCTCCATGGCTTGGCAAAAGATTGTTATCAGTGCTGCAACGGTTCTATGCATAAGCTCTGTTTCAAGGATCCTGGTGTGCAAATGTTAGGAACAGGTGATTAGAACTCATAGAAGAGGGCTAGGAGTTACCTTACTGTCGTTTCTTCACTTAGCTTGATTTTCATTTGTCTCTCACCTCTCTTCTGTTCTGTCCTGCCAAATTTTAGGATACTTCTCTTTGATAGAGATGACAGAAGCCAAGTAACAGTTCAGTAGTTCTCCATGTTCATGATCCATTACCATTTTCCCATCCCATCCAAACCTCCATCGTCACAAAACTTTAAAAAATCCGCATTATTGTCCATACCATTATTCACAAGCCTTGGTTCCTGCCCAGCGTTAATCTTCTTGATGGAATACTTACAGGATTTCTCTCATTCTTGATGTTGTTCCCCCTTACCATCTGAAAAATTTTTTTTCTAGCCTCTGCCCCGCAGATTTTCACCATGCAGTCACCTTGGTTTCATTAGCCACTTCCTCTGCTCCAGGCCCTACTCTTCCAACTCTCAGTCACTTTCATTATCAAAATGATTCTTGAGAATCTCTTGTCTGTCTCGTGAGCTGGATTAAATACAGCATATATAGGAAGCAAGAGGTTAAGAGCTCTAGGCAGCCCTAATAAATATGAAGTGTAGACAGCACCTGGTCACTGACTTCTGGAGGGATGACACAACCACAGATAACTTTGTTAATACGTTGGCAAAATACAAAGCACAGTTCTTACCAGCTAGGGGATAGTATTATGAAGACTTTGTTTAGAAGCTAGATGGGGATTTTAATGGACATTGAGGGATTTATCAGGCAATGATCAAAATAGAGGGAGGACATTCCAGGCAGTGACATTTAATTCCCTTTTAGATCTTCAGATAATTGGGTGATCTCCCAGCTTTTTGAAAATCTGCTTTCTTCAAGTAGATACGAACTTAGCCCAGCATTGTCCTCCAAATCCTCTGTGCTCTAACAACACAATCACTTTCACCAAGTGGGTGTATATTTTCTACTTTACCAGTTCAGTTCTTTCTTGGTCCAAGCTAATTTCTTTGCTTTTCAAAAATAGTATTAGCAGGCCAATCCAGGAATACCTTTAGCAGAGACTTGGACTTGATGCTTGGGGTGTTGAAATGCCCTATCAACATAACATTCAGTTTCTATGCCAGCTTTCTGATCTGTATCAAGAGGTCATCATTTTTTCTCTGCCTAGGCATTCTGATAAAGTGTCATCACATCTCATTTCATCCTCTTACCCAGATTCCCTCCAGCATACTTCCTTCTCAGGAGGCAGCAGGCTACAGATTTCAGATTTGACCCCAACCCTGAAGTGACCATGGCTTTTTAACTTCAGAGCTTCAGTTTCCTCATCTTTAAAATGGAGATAATAGCTTGCCTACCTAATGAGTTTGTCATGAGAGTCAGATGAGATTATCTAAAAGTGTTTTCTAACCTCCAGTGCTATTTTATAATTCTGAGGCCCTCCTTTCTTTCTTCAGTGTGTTGAAAACTATGAATTGAAAAAGTATACGTGATGAAGTAGTTTGAAGTAAGCATCAACAGAACTCCTTCAAAGTCTCAGACTTGTGCAGCTGCTGGAGTGAAACTATCGCATCTTGAGCACCACAGAATAGAAATGAATTTCAAATGAAACAACATCATGCCTTCTGAGGGGGCCTTGCAGAGATTGAGACCAATTTTTAAAATATTTTTAGAAAAAGAATAAAAACATCATTATAATTAAATGTTAATTCTTTGGAGCAGTTAGGTGGCGCAGTGAATAGAGAGCTCTTGGAGTGAGGAGGACCTGAGTTCAAATCCAGCCTCAGACACTTCACACTTACTAGCTGTGTGACAGTGGGCAAATCACTTAACCCTGATTGCCTAAGCCAAAAAAAAAGTTTAATTCTTTAAAATGCAGATACTTCTGTGGCACATGTTATCAAATAATCTCTTATTATCAGCTTTCATCATTTTTTGAAGGCTCTTCCATTTTTGTTGACATAGTAGGGAGCCACTGGATTTTATTGGATTTGAAAACCCTTCTCTTGGCATTGTGGAGGACTGACTGAACTGGTGAGAAACTCAAGGCAGAGAGAGCAATTCAAGGAAAGTTTTTGCAGTCGTTTAGGTGAGAGGTGATGAAGGCATGAACACCATCATAGGATGTGGGGGCAGAAGTGGTAATATTGGGAAACTAATTAAATGTGCAAAGCAAAGGAGACTTTAGAGTGGAAGATAATGCTTAGGTTAGAAACCTGGGAAACTGGAAGAATAGTGGACCTTTTCACAGAAATGGAGAAGTTTGAAAGGAGTAGATAATGAGTTCTGTTTTGGACATATTGTGCTTGAGATGTCTATGGGACATCCCTTTTGAAATATCCAGTTGGCAGTCGGTAGCAGTAGACTGAATCTCTTGGAGACACTGATGGATATATAAATCTGTGAGCAATCTGCAGAGGGATGATAATTGGATCCATGGGAGCTGATAGTATAGATATGATAGAAATAGTATAGAGAGAAGAATATGTAGATCAGAGCCTTGGGAAACAGCTACAATTAGAGACCAATGGTATGGATTATGAACCAACAAAGGAGACTGAGAAGGAGCTGTCCCAGAGGTAGGAGAACCAGCAGAGAGTAAAGAGGATCCAGGAGACAAGGGGTCAGTAATGTCAGCTGTAGCAGAGGTCCAAAAGGTTGGGCTAGGAAAAGACCATCAGATGTGACAATTAAGGTGGCTGGTGACATGAGAGCATTTTCTGTTGAGTAATAGGTTAGAAAGGTGACTAGAGGGTCAGTGAATGAGAGAAGTGGAGGCAGCAAGCATGAGTTTTTTTGGAGTTTGGCTGAGAAAGGGAGGAGAAAAATAGGGGAAGTTTTGAGGGAGAGATAGTATTCAGTTGGGCCTTTGTTTTGTTTAAGATAGAGAAGATTTGGGCATGTTTGAAGGCGGTAGGAAAGGAGCCAGTAGATAAGCAGAGGTTGAAGGTTAGAAAGATGGGATAGTTGGGGTGGTAATCTGCTGGAGAGAATGGGAAGAGAAGACATCAAGGGCGCAGATAGAGGAGTTGACTTTGGCAAGGAGGAAGGCCATTTCATTTCAAAGGCTAGGGAAAAGGAAAAGAATGGGTGATAATGTTTAGGGGTTTGGAAAAATGGGGAAAGAGGGAGCTCAGGTGGAATGGACTCAGTTTTCTCTGTAAAGTGTGAGATCCTGGGAGAGGGGCGAGCCATTTGAGAAGGAAAGTCTGGAATAGCTCCTGTTGGAGAGTCACCAAATTCATTTTTTGTTGTTCAGTCATTTCTGTCATTTCTATCTAACTCTTTGTGACCCCATTTAGGATTTTCTTGGCAGAGATACTGGAGTGGTTTGCCATTTCCTTCTCCAGCTCCCTTTACAGATGAGGAAACAGACAAACTTGCCCAGGGTCACACAACTAGTAAGTGTCTTGATGCTGGATTTCAACTGAGAAAGATGAATCTTCCTGACTCCAAGCCTGGCACTGCATCGCCTAGCTAGCTGCCCGTAAGAGAATAAATTAGATGGGAATAAAAGGATTGCTTTGCTGCAGGGAGAGCTCAATTGAAGTTGGATCACCTGAAGAAGTTAGGCTGCTTCCATATTACTTGACATGCATCTAATTTGATTTTCATAAGAAGACTGTGTGTTTGGTAGGAAATTTGTTGTTCGCTTCATAAAGTTGAGGACCTTAAAGCCAGAGACTTCACTGATTTCCCCAAGGTTACACAGCCAGGTCAGTGGGGCCTAGGGTTTAGATCCAGATCATCTAATTCAATGTCCAGTAAAAATTGTCTTCAGCATCAGTTAACAGGAGCGTACTCTTTTGACATTCAGTTAGTCCAGTTGTATGATCTGAGTTGCATATGTGAATATGTAGATTGAAAGCCTGATTTAGTGTGTGTTTCTGAGTAGCTAGGTGCTGCTAGAGGAAATTACCCCAAAAAAGCAGTGTTTGAGCCCAGGGTGGACGTTTTCTGTCAACCTTCTACTGGTCTCTCATTCTGCTGTTGGACAATACTTATATTCAACTTGTAATGATTCTCCTGTTGCCCACAGAGGTTATTTATAGATTGTCATCTTTCTTTTAGCTCTTACCCTTCATTTCAGCAGAGATTTTACTTTATACTTATTGAGATGGAATCTGGTCCAAAATAAATTCCCTCAGTGCTCTTCAGTTTTGTTTTTTTTGTTTGTTTTTTTGCCTTCCCTTCAAATCTCCCATTGGATCAATTAAACCTTGTTGCTAAAGCTAACCACTCACCTGTGCACTTTATCATCTTTCTCATGACTTTTCACTACTCCTTCTTGACTGTTCAAACAAAAACCACCCCATCTCTTGACCTCTCTCTGCCCCTCTCCTCCCTGCATTACTTCTCTCCCCTCACTCACTCTTCAGACATCTACAATTTGGCTTCTGTCACTACACTCTACAAGGACAGCTCTTCTCATCAAATCCCACTGGCGTTCATACTTCCTGACTAGTCTATAGCACCCAGTGCTGACCTCAACCATCTTGGTCCTCTGCTGAAAGGACCTGCTATCTCTAAAGTAACATATAGTCTGTATTGTGCTTTCTTTAGTTTTTGGAGGCATTACGAATTTGTGGACAGAGAGCCACCGTCCAGTCAGGAAAGACCAGGTTGAAATCCCATCTCACACATATACCTGGCCCTTCAAGTAAACACTAGGCAGCTCTGTGACTGTACATTAGAAAAGAAGATGCCAGCCTGCTTGGCTAAAAGGAGTTTTCTCAGCTAAGAGTTCTGTATATCAGGGAAATCCCGGGTCTAGACCCTTTTCTTTTTAGCTCTTTAATATGTGAGCACAGCTAAGTGGAGTTTCCTATGCCATGGCCTAGTCCTGTTACTGTTAACTACGTGCACACATTTGGGCTGGGCTTGGACAGCCGGGCTTCAAGCCTTGCTCTGACATAGGCAAGCCATGTGACCCTCAGTTATGCTGAACCTCTGACCCCGGGCAGAGAAGGGAACATTCTACCAATCTAGAAGAAGTTCCTTTCCAGGAGCTCACTTTTGTGGGGTTTTTTGTTTTTTTATATCTTGTTTCCACAATTTAAAAATACAGTTGCCAAGATCTGGGAATTTGTCTTTTTCTCTTTTTCCTTTTTTGTGTCCTTATGATACTATACTAATAATAGGAAAGTAATAAATTTTCAGAGAATGCTTTTTTCTTTAAACATTTTGATTAGTATAGAATATCAAACTACCAAAAATATTCCTACCCTAGCTTATTTCCTAGACTAGGGACTGTGTTTTGCCTTTTTTTGTATACCTAGCATTTAACAGTGCTTGGCACATAGTAAGAGCTTAAAAATAATAATAATAATAACAATAGCAAAAAATTACTTAGCACTCACAGTGTGCAAGGCACTGTGCTAAACACTTTACAGCTATTATCTCATTTGATCCTCACAACAACCTTGGAAGTTAGGTGCTGTTGTTCCCATTTTACAGTTGAGAAACCTGAGGCAGACAGAGGTTAAGTGACTTGCCCTACATTACACAGCCAGGAACTGAGGCAGGATTTGAACTCGGGTCTTCCTGATTCTAGGCCTGGTGCTCTGCACTGTGGTTTCCCCTAGCTGCCTCAATTTCTTTACTAACCTATAGCCATGGTAACAGCACCCATTGGTTTTGCTTTTCTTGATGCTTTTCCTTCTGTATAGTTTATGGAGAAGTTTCTGTTGGGGAAGAAGAAGGCGAAGGTGAAACTGGCTGGATTGAAGGAGCTGCCATCCTTTTGTCAGTAGTGTGTGTTGTGTTAGTGACGGCTTTCAACGACTGGAGTAAAGAGAAGCAGTTCCGAGGTCTGCAGAGTCGCATTGAGCAAGAGCAGAAGTTCACGGTCATCAGAGGGGGACAAGTCATTCAGATCCCGGTAGCTGACATTACTGTTGGGGACATTGCTCAAGTGAAATATGGTGAGTACCCTAGGAGAAAGAGTGCATCAGCCCTGACCTTGGGGTCCTGATCTCATCTACAGCACACCCCTTCTTTGTTTGATGTTCTAGGTGATCTTCTTCCAGCCGATGGTATACTTATTCAAGGAAATGATCTCAAACTTGATGAAAGCTCACTGACTGGAGAATCTGATCATGTTAAGAAGACGTTGGATAAAGATCCCTTGCTTTTATCAGGTCTGCATTCTCTATGAAAGCTATGTAAATTAGAAATTGTATGATGATAACGTTAAACTGTCATGATTTAAAAGGCAGTGTAGCCTAGTGAGGACAGGTTGGCCACAGAGTCAGGAAAACGTGAGTTCAAGCCACTTGATCTCTCAAGGCCCAGCACAGCTCTAAAGAATCCATCGAAGAAGAGTTATTGATCAGCATTGAATAAGCAGTTAACGAACATTTCTGGGTCTACTGTGGGCCCGACATTAAGGATACCAGTATGAAACACAAAACAATCACTACTCTCAGGGGGTTGGGATAACGTCCCATCCAGGGAAACCACACATACAGAATAGGGTAGTTAAACAGGGAAATCCTAGTACGTGGTGTGACGGGGTCAGCGGCAGGTGGAAAGTGGGGCATGCTTGAACCATATCTTAAAGGAAGCGTGAAGGATTCTGGATGCCCAGGAGATAGCCACTGCAAAGGCACCAAGATGAAAGATGGGGGCTGTGTTTGAGGAACAGAGAGAAGGTAGGCTGGGGTGAGGATGTGAGGAGGAATGCCCTACACTGATCATAGGCCAAGTCTAGAAATAATTATCTAAAAAAAATTTTAACCTGTTATAAATCTTTATACTTTTCTCTTCATTTTTGTACCTGTTGTATTTGAGTGTCTAAAAATGAATCTATCCAATTAAGCAAATTCAACACTTATTTTAAGCATATTCTGGGATTATGGAGACAAAAGACTGAGCAGTCTTTGCCTTAAGGAAGCTTAGGACAGTTGAAACATAAAAATAAAGCTGATGCAAAGGAGAGATACAAAGTATTTAGAAAGTTGAATAAAGGTAAGATCTTTCAAGATGGTGGGATAAAGGAAGGTTTGCATGAACGAGATGGCATTTGAGTTGGGTGTTTGGGGAAAAAAAAGATAATTCAGTTCAATAATCATTTATTAAATGCTGTATATCAGACCCCATACTATGTGTTAGAGCAGGCACAAAGACAACAATAAAAGTTCCTTCCTTCCCGGAGCTTCTATCAGGATCTGCTGCAGAAGGATTTTCCATCTCAGCAGTGGAGCTGGTCCATTCCAGCTCTGGGGGGTGGGCTGATGAGGTGGCTGCACCCATGTTGGGCCTGTCCTAAATGCCCAGCTGAGTTCCATGGTGTTCTCCTAGAGGCATCAGCACAGAGCCACAGCAGGCTTTTGAACAGGGCAATCGGCGTTATGGCGTTCAGGAGGTTGATGCTGTGTGGTGTATAGAATTGTAATTTGAGAGAGATGCTGAAGGTTTATGAATTTAGGAGGATTTTGCACTAGTTAAGTATAAGGAGGTATTAAATCTTTGGCATCTCAATAGAATGTAGGCTTCTTGAGAGAACAGATTGTTTTTTTTTCTTTCTTTTTCTTTTTTAATTTGTATCCCCAGAGCAGCCTGGGACAAAGCCTGATACTTAATGAGTGCTTGTTGCTTGGCTGAGTGTGGGTTGGGGAGGACTGAGGCCAGATTGCAAATGTCTGAGGAGTAGAGAGGGGGTGAAGAATTGGCAGCTTCTCTGTAAATATGAGCAGTGAATGAGGGAGACTGATCCAGGGTGATAACTTGGTCAGGGGAGAAAGATCAAGAGGGTGTTTTCTTTTATTTTTTTATTTATTTCTTTTTTGCTCTGGGGAAGCATGTTTAGAGAGTCAAGACAAGGGAAGGCTGCCAGCAGAGGGGAGAGGGATGGATCAACTGTATGAGCTCTTAGATGATTACTCAGAATGGGAGCCTTTAATCACAGATTTAGAGCTATCAAAGACCTCTCTCTCCACACATCAGGTCTACCACTCTCCCCATTCATTTTGCAGATGAAGAAAGTTGATAGTAAGTGATTATTAACTTGAAAACAGTTTATTTCTTTGGAATCACTTTCCTGATATACATAGGGATAGATAATTCGTTGTATATGTGTAACTTATTCCACAGATGTTGTTATATATATATATATGTACATATATATATGTACATATATATATGTATAACTTATTCCACAGATATTTACCAGACATCTAGAATTGACAGTGTTACTTGGATCAAAGCAATAAAAATTGCTGAACTGTTTGTACTTCAACATTTCTATTTATCCTTTTATACAAAGAGTATTGTATCTGCCGTTAATTTTTGTGTCTAACAGAAGTGAAGTTTAAGTAATTGGAAAACTATATCACCATTGAAATAAGTGTCCAGTTTGAAAGTACTTTGAATAATTTACCTCTGTTTCATTCTTAGGAATTGAGTGCCTACTTTTGAGAGCTTTATCTTGATTACTTGTCTGTGAAAATCTTTAGTAATTACATTTTCTTCATTTTTAGTAAAACATTAGTTTAACAGTTCTTATTTAATAGCATCAACTTTACAACGAAGAAACAAGATTTTATGTTGTTGCAGGTACCCATGTGATGGAAGGCTCTGGAAGAACGGTAGTTACTGCTGTGGGTGTGAACTCCCAAACTGGAATTATTTTTACCTTACTTGGGGCTGGAGGTGAAGAAGAAGAAAAGAAAGATGAAAAGAAAAAAGAAAAGAAAAGTAAATACAGTACTTTGATTCCTTTAAAAAAAACTTTTTATATTTGAAAATAGTTGTGGGATTTATTTTTTAAATTGTTATAGCAAACATGAAGAAAAAATTTGTTAAATTGCCTTTTTAGTATTTATGTTCTATAAAATGCACAGTACTTTCTTTTGAATATAGAACTGAGGAACAGTCCATTAAACATTTTAATATGAAAGAGATTTGGAGGAAGGGCAGGGAGAGTAAAGATCTTTTGACCAAACACCAAGACCAACACCGCTCTCCAACCCTTAGGCCCATTCCTCCTTGTGTCCGTCTGATTGTCCCCACAGTCATCCTTTCTGTCCTTAATCTTTAGTCTTTCCCTGTTTACTGATCCCTTCCCTGTTGCCCATAGGTCTTCCCAGCCCATTAAAAAGCCTTCACTTGACCTTCTTCTCTCCCCTCGCTTCACGCCCCTCCCTCCCACCCCACGTTGTCATGCTGTCTGGGCTCACTTTTCATTGCCAATAAGCTGTCTGCTTTCATTGCTTGTACTTCCGTTCTTTTCACTTCTCACCTGCCCCTTGCTATTTGGCTTCAGACTTCATCGTTCAGCTGTGAAACTGCTACTTCCAGAGTTACCAGTGATCCTGATGCCAACTCTGTTGGCCTTTTCCCAGTCCTTATTTTTCTTGTCTTCTGTGCTTTTTTGTTTGTTTGTTTTGCTGTTGACCACCCTCCCTTTCTGAATGTCCTCTCCTCTCTTTGTTCTCATAACACCCCTCTCTCTTTTCCTCCTATCTACCTGAGTACTCCATAGTTGACTTTGCTAAATCTTTGACCATGAACAGTAAGATGACCGATTTGGTTGGACCGTGTGGCAATGACAGTAGTAAAGATCCAAGGGTGGTTGAGGCCGGATCACGTCTTTGTAGGGCTTCAGGTGCAAACAAGGGAGCTCATATTTGATCCTTGAGGTGACTGGAAGTCACTGGAGCTTGAAAGAGGAGTGACCTGCCAGGCTTCATGTTTTAAGAAAGTAACTTGAGCGCCCCCTTGGAAGGTGAACTGGGGAGAGACTTCAGTAAAGAGATTGCTGAAGGAAAGAGGAATGCATGAGCCCGGCCTAATCTGCATTACATTGTTTGTTTATCCTTTGATCCCTATTACCTTATTGTTTTGGAATGTTAATAAAAGACCTGGGTTTGAATTCTGCCTCTGTGCTACCTTAGACAAATCATTTCGCTTCTCAAAGTTGTATTTCCTCATCTGTAAAATAAGATTAGATTACATAGTTTCTGAGATCCTTTTTGATTCCTGGGGAAGTCTCAGAGCTTTGGCTTGAACAGTGGCAGCTCAAATTCATTGTGAAGCCAGTAACTATATTTTGAGAAATCAAAAATGAAAACTGCCCAAAGAAGGAAGGAGCTATTGAAACATGCTATATAGGGGAAGCTAGGTGGTGTAGTGGATAGAGCATCAGCCCTGGATTCAGGAGGACCTGAGTTCAAATCTGGCCTCAGACATATAACACTTACTAGCTGTGTGACCCTGGGCAAGTCACTTAACCCCATTGCCTAACCAAAAAGCAAAAAACAGAAACAAAAACAAAAACCAAAACCATGCTATATAATGCACAGAAGAGAACAGAAGTTATTTCCTAAGGAATCACACACAAGCAGGGCAGTTTTGAAAATAACAGGGAATTTGTTTTTTTTTAAAGCAAGCTGTGGAATAAACAGTATCCTCTACAGTCTATTTAATGCTCTTGTCCCTCTATTAAAATTATTATAGGTTCTTTTTGCTGTTAAATTCAGAATTTTTTTTAAGAAAAGAATCTTTCATTTAATTTTTTTATTGGAATTGTTTAGCCATCTCTGACTTACAACCTTAACAATTGTTGTTATGTAGATATGGATTCAACTATGGCAGTAAAATATTGGGTTTTTGTACCATTTTAAGTTATGGTAATTAAAATATTGATCAGCCTACAGTCAGCATAGGCTAGGTAAGTGGAAGGAGCACCAGGTTGGGATTTACAGATTCTGAGTTATTTTCTTGACTGGGTGTTTGACTTCAGAAAAGACTGTGCACTTCTGGGCTCCAGTGTCCTGATCTATAGTTAGAACAATTTGAATTAGATGATTTCTAAGGTCCCTTCTAGCTCTTTCATAATTATCCATGTTATTAGACTTCTAGAAATACAAGTATACATACACTACAGAATATTTCTACAACATATAAAAGAAATAATGTAGACTGTCAAAAACTTTAAAGAGTGTGAGGAATTATAGAGAACCAAATATTATGTTCAAATATTATATTTTCATTATTCAAATGTGGAGAATGACCATGCGGGTCAATCATAATTAGCAAAATGCCATAACTAAGCCATAAAGCAAAATATACTACTACTGTTATTAAAGTAATAATGCCACTATAGGAAGAATTTTAAATTACCATTTGATAAGTTCATGTTTACAAATACTACTTTTTGAAAAGCTGACCTCTCTTTTTTTCCCTTACAGATAAGAAACAAGATGGAACTGTTGAGAACCGCAACAAAGGTAAACTTAGAAGCATAATACTACCAAGTAGTTAGCTGCCTTTTAGGAATTTAGGAATGCAGTTGCTTTATGTAAAAAATCTCAACCTGCCTAGTGTCTCTTCTGCTTACCTTCTTGGCTCAAAAACAGCATCTATAATAAGACATGCAGCGGTCAACAATATATCTTAGCCACCACATTGCTAATAATGGGGTCAACAAAGGCTATGGTTTTTGAAGTAGTTGGTTGTGTCCATTGCCAGAGCCTTGTGACTTATCTACTTGGCTCCATCAGCGTAAATATGTTTCTGATAGTTACCGTTTTGTAACTTCACCCTTAGGATATTTGACTCCACCCAATTTTGAACTGATCTATCCTTTAGTACTTTTCACCTGCGAATTTCTTGCCCTCTTACCATATACTCTTCCCAGCCTGTGAATCATCTTCCTTGGGCGTGACCCCCTCTCACCCTAGGCTGCTGAGCATTATTAGAAGAATTTGGGCTGGTTTCACACATCCAAAATTCATGAGATACACCTTACCTGTACTCTCTATTCTGTTCATCAATCCTTCTCTGATCTTAATCTCATTTCTGTACACCTAATCAAAAAAAGTTTTCCAAACCTTTTCTAAATTGTATTTTTTAAATTCTGAATGGAAGCATGAAAAAAGAGCTTTTTTTCATATACACAGGAGAACACAAGGAAGAGGATTATACATGAAGCCAGGAATTTCTACTTCATATCACTTAATTCCACACATTTCTTTGGAAATTTCCTTGTTCTTCTGAACTTCTTTCTGTACATTTTGTAAACTGCTTCAGGGGTCTTTTGAAGAAATCCCTAAAAGGAAAAAAAACCCTTAAATTCCTACAGTGGACATTTCCACAAACAAAAGTCTCTGTATTTTGGGTCCAGCCCTCTCTGACTGCAAGGGAGTGGCAGACTTCATCGGAGGCCCTCAGTGGCTACACATCACTTTGGTCAATGTCAGTCTTTCAGAGTTGTTTTTCTGTACAGTGTTGTCATTGCATAAATTATTCTCCTGCTTCTACTCCCTTCATTATCTGCATCAGATCATATTCCAAAGATTCTATGAAATTATCTCTTTCATCATTTCTTATGGCACAATACTGTTCATCACATTCATACATCATAGTTTCTTCAGACATTCTAAAATTGAGGGGGACCCCCTTAGACTGTAGTCCCTTTGACTTTTTCCACTATTTTAATCCCTTCTTCGTGAGCAAGGTGTTTGTTTTGCTTAGTCTATTTATTCTCCAGTTATTATCTTCCCTTTGACCCCCTCCTCCTATCCTGACCTGTTTCTCTATTGAATGTGGTGTATTTCTATATGAAACTGTGAATGTATTTGCTGTGTTTTGCAGTGGTCAGCCTTGTTTGGCCATGATTTGAGATTCTGTGCTGACCTCTGTCTCCTGGAGTTGGGGCCCCCTTTTCTTTGATGCTCAGACTTAGGGACCTTGGCATCCTGAGTGTCCTGGTCTGAGTGCTGCTGCTTCCGCACAGGCTGCTGCTTCACCTGATGGCTTCCAGCATCCCCCGCTGTGGCTTTACAACCATTCTGGGGCTCTTCCAGGGAGCCATCCTCTGCTCTTCCTGCCTTTGGCCAGAGAGCCCTGCAGGGTACACGTGACGTGTCTTTGGCCCATCCTTGGTCATGCTGGGAGGCTGCTGGCTTGCTTGCCTGAGCTGGCTCTGGCTTTGCTGGCAGCTCCTTTTCCTTTTGCCTGCAGACTTCTGGCTGACTTCTGTGTAGTGCTGTGTTGGAAGAAATCACTTCCTGTAGCATCTCACTGGATTTCTTGGTTATTATTAGCCTAATGCAACGTTTAGGTTTTTGCATGAGTGGGTAAGGGTCAGCTGATCTGCTTGCCTTCTTTCAGGTTGCCATATTGGTTTCACCTTCCAAATCGTTTCTTTTCCAGCCATTCCTTCGGCACCCTTGTTTAGAAGAGGAAACTTAACATCCTAATTCACAGAGATTTGCGTCAGAATATGTGACCTCCCTCAGCTTCGCTGTCATCCCACAGACACTCTCATTGTCCAAATTCTTTGTCTTTCTTCCCTACAGTCACAGTGGAATTTCTGCTACTGACTCACACTACACCCTTTTCTTGTGCCCCTGATCTCATAACTTCCTTTTCCCTACATTGCATTTTAAATTATTTACTCTTCTCTGGCTCCTTCTCATCTACGTATAAGATGCTTTGTTCTCTGTGTCGTAAGAAGGAAAATCTTCCTTTGACCCCATCCAGCTATTCCCTTTCACCTATATTTCTGCTTCCTCTCCCCATTTTCTTCTCAACCCCCTGCAAATGGATGCTTACCCTGACCAGTCTTATAAAACTGCTTTGTGATCACCTAATTGCCAAGTCCAATAGACTTTTAAAATTCTTAATCCTCCTTGGCACCTCTCTAGCTTATTAATACTAAATATGTTGACTCCTTTCTGCTGGAAATTCTTTCCACTGTCAATGATGTAGTCTCCTAGTCAGTTACCTCCCCAGTCTGTCGCCACCTTTTCCTCATTGTTTCCTAATGGTGGCATTCTCTTAGGGTCTGTCCCTATCTCCTGGTGTTCCCACACTTGGTGTGATCTTTGATTTTGCTGTCTGTCATATCCAGTCAGTTACTCAGAGGAACTAGGGAGTCTCACACTGCAGATGAGAAGATTGAGGTGGGATGGGGTGGTATCTCCAAGTAGATCAAGGGCTGTTTTGTGGCCTCTGAGGATGGAACTGGGAACAACAGGGAGAAGGCAAACTGAGGCTTAATGAAAGCAGTAGCCTTTAACAAAACCACCTGATAGAAAGGACCTTAGTTGGGTTCCCTCTGCCTAGAGGTCTTTGAGCAAAGGCCAGGGGGCCATTTTGTGTGCTGTAGAGATAATTCTTCCATGTCTAGTTTGACCAGATGGCTCGTAAGGGGCAACAGGTGAAAGTCTCAGAAAGGTAAATTTGGACTTAAAGGGGAAGGAACTGACTCTAGTGCATTCTCCCTCATGGAATCTTGAAGCAGAAAATGCTGGATATGAGTCAAATTAGATGGCCGTGGGAGTCATTGTGAACTCTGAAATTCTCTGATTTTGTAGTGGCTCCCAAAATAATGCATAGGTAAGGTGACAGTCACGCCTCTGCTAAAAAAAAAAATCCTCTTTACCTCATTATTCAGAGCCCTCAATTACCTGGTACCATACAGTCCTCCCAACCTTAATTTATATTATTTTCCTCCTTTCATTATATACCTTAGCTAAACATGGGGGTCTTCTGAACATTCACTACTAACGTTGCTTCATTTGATCATTCCAGTATATTTTTCATGACTGTGTGCCTTTACTGAGTCTCCCTTTGCTCCTTGAGACCCATCACTTCCTGTAGGTACCCTTTTCTCGTTTAAATTCTTTTCCCTCACCCTGATAATGGCCTTTTTCCTTAGGACTTACAAATATCATTTTGCTTTGTAATTCTCTAATATACTTAAATAATATTTGTGTTTTATTCTATTAGACTTAAATAGGATGCTAATTAAGTGTTTGGGGAGCTGGGGGGGAGGGATCTCATTAGACTTGCATTTCTTGAGGGCCGGGTCTCATCTAATTCCTGGTGGCTCACACGATAATCTGCACATAATAGTTACATAATAAATGTTCATTTATTGTATTTGGTATGGGGGAGTGGGTTATCAATCAGAAGTCAAGCATTTTCTAGGTTATGAGAAATAAATAAAAATTCTATTAAGATATAAATCTTACCAGTAATATAATGCTTTTTAAATGTATGTTTATTTTTAATCTTAGCAAAAGCTCAGGATGGTGCAGCCATGGAAATGCAGCCATTGAAGAGTGAGGAAGGAGGAGATGGGGATGAGAAAGATAAAAAGAAAGCAAACTTGCCAAAGAAAGAAAAGTCTGTTTTACAAGGGAAACTCACAAAATTGGCAGTTCAGATTGGAAAAGCAGGTATGAAGTAATGGAAAAAATAAGATTTTAAAAAAACGTTTTGTCTGGTTTTTTCCTTTTAAAGATTGCTTGTTTCACTTACTTATTGGAGCCAAAGTTCTGTGTTGAGGGTATGAATAAAAAGTCATTTAGAAAGGCTGTGCCTCTTAAACTCATTTTATTTTTCTCTTCAACTAGAGGCGATAGCCGAGTATAAGGTATCTGAGAATTCTCAGTGTACCTGTGTAGGCACTTTAATTATATTGGATTCAAATAGGATTTCACCATTACTTTTTTTTCTGCTTAGTTTGTAACTGAGACCCAACTTTGCAAAATGGCTGGGGTTAAAGAAGACTGGGTTTAATTAAGCCTTGCCTCTGAGACAACAGTGGTAATATGACTATGAGCAAGTCTTCATTTTTCAGTGCCCAAGCCACCCTCTTAAGGCTTTTGAAGTTGGCGAAGAGGGCTGATGTGCCTCATAGAGCTAGAACTAGCAGCAGAAGGAACCTCAGAAAGGCATTAGCTACAACCTGCTCTCCTCACCATGACACAGCTTTGGTCCTCTCCCCTCTCCCTTGCCACCCTCGCTCCCCAGACTGGACCAGTGTTGGCATGGAGCTAAAACTGCCATTTCAGTCCCTGATTTGGACACATTGGTTTATACCATGATAACACACTGTATTCCTAGCCCCTGTTATAACCTTGAAAATGTTCAATATCACGAGAGAGACCAGATTAAAGCAGATGGATGTTTAATGCAAAACCATCCTAGCATCATCTTTGAATATGAATACTGCATGAGGCATTTGAATAGTGCTTTGGGGTTAAAAAAGCATTTTTTTCTTCGGGAACTCACTGTTTACAAGGAAACAACTGCCAGCTAATTTATATAAATCTGTGGTTGGGTGCAGAGTTTTAAATTCAGAGTTTTAAATGAAAGGATGGATTTGAACTGGAGACTTGGATATAAGAGATTTCATATCACCTAAATATGTGACTTACCTTTTAATGGTATGCTGATGAATCACAGCCTGGCTTTATTTTTTTTCTTTACAAAAAGCTTAAAATTCTACTTTGGAGCAAAATAGTCTTAAGCATATATAAGACATGTAATCATTTGTGTTTGTACTAATACTAATAACATACAAGTTATCTAAAATTGCAAAGAAATCGCGCATGTACAATTCTCTGTATTGAAATGTGTTTTGATATAGAATTTGCTCAATTAAGACTTCCCAGCTTATGAAGTAATGAAGTTATCTGGGAATCTTAATTTCACGATCTGCAAAGAAATTTAGCTTTATCATATGTTTCTCCCATCGTGTTCCTCCCATTTTAGTGACTCTGTGTATTTTGGAGAAATGTAAAACTGCCCACTTTTGCTGAGCTTGTTTCTCAAGGCTGTTGCCTGTATCATTGCTTTCTGGAAAACAGAAGAGATAAGTGACTTGCATTAGGGAATTTCTCCCCTTCCCGTTTTACTCTTTCTAAGCAATTTATGAAGTACAAATAAACTGAGCAAACCAGTAGAAGTTTGAGAAAATAGGTTAGGATGGTTTCAAGCTTTGAAGCTTGACTTCCACATCATCGGGTGAACTTAGCATAGAAAATCCATATTAGAGGTCAAGACATTAAAATGTCTTATTTCTTAAGTAATTCTGTAACCTTCTTTTCAATGAAAGGGCTACTGATGTCTGCAATCACAGTTATCATCCTAGTGTTGTATTTTGTAATCGACACATTCTGGGTTCAGAAACGACCGTGGCTTGCGGAATGTACACCCATTTATATACAATATTTTGTGAAATTCTTCATTATTGGAGTCACAGTTCTGGTGGTAGCAGTGCCAGAAGGTCTTCCACTTGCAGTAACCATCTCACTTGCTTACTCTGTAAAGGTAAGTACTGCAATAATGACTCAAAAATTGATAAATCTTTTAAAATGTATTTGTGGAATTCTTATCAATCAAGTTTGCCCTTTCTCTCTAGATTGTGAATCACAGGACCTGAACCTAGAACTGCAGGAGACCTTAAAGGTCACCTAGTGCAGTAGTTTTCAAAGTATGGTCCCTGGACTGCTGGCAGTCCCCCCAAGACCCTTTCAGGGGGGTCTACAAGGTCAAGACTTTAATAATAAGATTTTTTAAATTTTCCAAATGTGATAAATAACAGTAATTATAATCCACATAAATATAAGCTCTTTGGGGGGAGGGGTCCCCCCTCATTATTTTTTAAGATTGTACAAGGTCCTGACACTAAAAACTTTGAGAAGCTCTGATATAGCCAATGCTTTCTTCTCCTCCCACTCCCATTTAACAGATTGGGTACCGAGCCTTTGAGTGGTTGTGACTAGCCCAAGGTCAGTACTCTTTCCTCTGTACTCCATTGTCTCCCTGACTTGTATTTCTAAAGGGTTTTTGCCTTCTCAAAATGCTTTTAGGAATCTGAGGACTCTGAATAAGGTGGCACTTTCATTTTAGGCTTTTTTCTTTTCATGTTGAACTGGACTCTTAATAATCTATTTGGAAAATTTGGGAAAAATATTTGGAAAATGCTGTGTTTCATCTAAGAGAACCTTTGAGTGTTGTCCTAATAAGTGAGACAAGCATTGGATTCTCCCAAAAGCTGCTCAGGTCTCCTCGCGGAGGTATTCTTGCCTCTCTGCCTCAGAATCATTGCTGCATCAGAGCATTACAGAGGAACAACCTGAGGGTGATGGAAACACCAAATTCCTCTCTTCCAGTAAGAAAAAAGAATGTCTAGAATTGAAGAGATTTGCCTTAAAATTCCAGATTCATTCTTTACTTTTATTGCAGACCTTGTAACTGTCATGTTTTCCTGGTAGGTATTCTTATAAACCAACTTTGCTTCCTATCTTATGGAACCAAAGGGGCTTGTAAAGTGTCATTTGCTAAAGGTAAAGATCTGTGTAAAGAATATACTTTTCTTCCCCTGATCTCGCCTAGCATCTGCTACCTCTTATGCAGTAATCATAATCCCCTTTGCGCTGTAGTTAATTATGTCTTACGCCTACTAGATTGCACATGCCAGATTATAAACAGGAATCCAGTCTCACTTGTCTTTGTATACTGCAGTTCCACACATTAGTGACACAAATATTTGATGAAAAGAATGAGTTGGAAAAAATCTTTGTAGCCTAAATTTTTTTTATTAGAAAAATGCTACACATGTATTTGATACTTGAATAAATACCACTTTTTCCCTTTAAATTTAAATGATAACAGTGTGCTATGTAAAGTAACTATAAATCTTGCCCTAGTGATTCTACAGTTTATAATATTCTAAAATGTTTATACTAAATCCTGACATGGGAGGAACCTCCTTTTGGAAAAAAATTATTTATTCTTCTATTGTAATGAAATGAAAATGGGAAAGATGAATTGCAGATGTAATTTAATTCTGTTCTACTTGGATATAAATGTTCAATTATTAATTAAGATTTTAGACTTCTGAGCGTTCAAACTAATCCCAGTCTTAGCCTGATGTACACAGTCATTTCAGGAGATTGACTTGGTAGGTGATCAGGAAAAGAAAGACAACAAATTAATACTTGTTATTGAGTATCATGAAAGGAATTTAAAATCATTTTCCTTCAAAACAAGGCATTTTTATTAAAGACCTTTATATTGGGTATAGTTCCTATAATTATGCCAAGTTTTCTGTGCTATTTTTCTTCATGGTGTATATGCCTTATGTAATTTAACTTTTCCCCACCAATTAAACTTAACTAAATTCTGTATTATTTGTAAAGGTCATTCCTAGAAATTGTCTTTAGTGTCTTTAGTAATTATTTGCTGTATGTACATTTGGGGGCCAAAGACTGAGATAGAAGAGAGGAAAATCCTGATTAGTGTTGTTCTTAATTCTCACAAAATAACTGATTATAACTTCTAAAATAAAGTGTCCCATTTTGCCTAATTCACTATAATTTAATATGCATTCTGATTCTATTCAAAAGTTTATTAATAAATTTGTAAGGTTCTGCGGCTGCCTTTGACCTCAGCAAATCACATAGTTTAACTGGATACGTTTTCTGAGATGTTTCACTGTACCCAAACTGAACTTAGCTTCTCCTATTAAAAAAACTTCCTCTTTTTCAAGCCCATCCCCTCAACAATACAGCACTCACATTGCTCCCCCACAAAACTTTCCTTTCCTAATTCACTGCCCTAATTGTCTGTTTCTCTGCTTGAAAAACCCACTCCTCCTGTCATGGGAGAGACTAGCGAGGTTGTCCTTGAAGGCATATGCTGCCCTCCAGCTCTCTCTCACTCTTCCATTCTACGTAGGCCGACAATGGGTTCACTTTGCTCTGATTTCTGGTTTTTTTAGGGCCCAACTTGGGCATCATCTCCAGTCTGGAAAGGCGAAGCTTCCCTCACTAGCTAAGTTAAAAGTGATTTATCCAGCCCTCAGTTTTCCAGCATATAGCACAGCCTGTTTGTATTATAGGATAGAGAATTTGGAATTTGAAGGGACCTTGAATGGGTTTCCAAAAAAATCAGCTTTTTATCTGGATTGTTGTAACAGCTTGCTGTTTATTCTCCTTACCTTTAATTTTAACACTCAACTAATCTATCCTTTAGATAATTACCCAGATGATCTTCCTAAGATCTAAGTATGATCCCTGCCCCAAAACCCTTTTTTAGATCCTTATTGCCCTTAGGATGAAATACAAAGTCCTTAACCTGACTTCCCCTCTCCCTCCAATATCTAACTATAGATTACATTTTCACATTATTCTCTTTTGGGCATGCTGTTTTCCAACCAACTAAACTAATTGTTCCCTGAATGTGACATTTTGTCTCTGACCTCAATGAAGGCACAAGGACTAGGTCTAATTCTTGGAAGGCAGTTCTTCCTCAGCTCCTGCAGACTTTTCAGGCTTCTGCCTTTCTTTGAGCCTTAGGCCAAGCTTCACAATGAAGTGATTTCTGATTGCTCTTCCATTCCCGTCTCTGCCCCTTCCTTTCACTATTGAACATAAGTTCTTTGAGGGCAGCAATTATTAACTATATTGGGGTTTTGGGATGCTTGGTTCCCAGCAGCATGCCTTTCATATACCAGGCAATAATTACTGAAAATAAATGTTTTATTAAATGAATAAGAAGCCTTAGAATGTAACATGTAAATGCCTTTTTTTTTTAAGTTCTAATTGCTAACCAGATATCAAATGACTTCATATAAGGATTGTTAGCACCAACATTTGGTATTGTGCAGCTGCACCCTTTTCTATTTTAGATAAAAAGAAATAAATAAAGCTGAATTACAATATCACCATAGCAGCATACTCCTTTCAGGTGCTTGATTTTTGGTTTAAAGTATTTCTTTGCAGGGAATTACTTTGTAAAGTTCATCATAAAGTGATATGAACTTGTACAGGGGTGCTTCTTTTCTGCAGTGTGTTCAGGGTCATTGATATACACAATTAAATAAAATACAGGGTTAAGATAACGGGAGAGGAACATAGGTTTTTAGGTAATAGCAAATGATGGATGCAGCAAAAACCAAGGATTTCATATAGTATTCCTCAATAGGCCAGGTCACCTCATCATTTTGTGGTGTTAAATTAAAGGTTTGCCATGTTACGTGATAACGTGTACTTAGGAATATTAAATATGACTGTTTAGTTTTTATTTTTGAAATGTAATGATGAATTTGTAAGCAACTAAATTTTTTCTTTTGGTTTTCTACTCTATAGAAAATGATGAAAGATAATAACCTAGTAAGACATCTGGATGCTTGTGAAACCATGGGAAATGCAACAGCCATTTGCTCAGATAAAACAGGGATGCTGACCATGAATAGAATGACAGTCGTCCAAGCTTACATAAATGAAAAGCATTATAAAAAAGTTCCTGATCCTGATGCTATTCCAGCAAGCATTTTGTCCTGTCTTGTAACTGGAATTTCTGTGAATTGTGCTTATACATCAAAAATATTGGTAACACTTATTATATACACATATATATATAATATATATGGGGGGTGATTTTTTTTTTTTGGGCAGTTGGGGTTAAGTGACTTGCCCAGGGTCACACAGCTAGTCAGTGTCAAGTGTTTGGTCTGAGGTCAGATTTCAACTCAGGTCCTCCTGACTTCAGGGCCGGTGCTCTATCCACTCTGCCACCTAGCTGCCCTGTGTGTGATACTCTTAAAAGTGAATTTTCCAATATGTTTTACACCAGGCCTGATGATCCAGGCTACTGTCACATTAATGGGATTATAAATGTAGTGGTGGAAGGGACCTTAGAAGTCACTGAACCCCACTGCCTTGGTAATAAATAAAATGCTGCCATGAGAACTTTATGAATTATCATCCAAATGTTTTGAGAACTTGATAGCCCTGCTTTCTTATAATTTAAAGACACATAAATGTGTAATGTGTTCATTAGTCTTTGGATGGATTTGTTCTCATAAATCAATATATTTTCCATTAAATACATTGCTAATTTCTCAACCTTTATTTTTAGCTTCACCTGCTAAAACAATTTTTGTTTTGATCAGTTTAATTTCTCATCAGTTTTTTTCCTAAATAGCTTTATGTGAAGCTCAATTCTTAATTCGCTAAAGACTAAGATTTGTTTTTTTAAGAAAATTTTATATTCATCCAGAAGTAAATTATTTAAAAGAAAAATGCATTTAAAACTCGCTGTAATATTGCCATGTTATTGGCTTACGTATAAACCTGTCTTAGACCTTCTATCATCTCCGTAAACTGACACAGTAAAGTACAAATAATTCACTTTCCCAAGGAGTCATTTAACTTAATAATGCAAAACATTAATTTACTTTTTTTTGGGGGGGGGTTGGCAGTGGGGTTAAATGACTTGCCCAGGGTCACACAGCTAGTGGTATGTGTCTGAGGTCAGATTTGAGCTCAGGTCCTCCTGACTCCAGGGCCAGTGCTCCTTCCACTGCACCACCTAGCTGCCACCAATTTTCTTTTTTTTTTTTTTTTTGGCTAGGCAGTGGGGTTAAGAGACTTGCCCAGGATCACACAGCTAGTAAGTGCTCTCTACTCTGCCACCTAGCTGCCCCCCCAATCCTCTTTCCATATTATTTCCATATAAAAATGTAAACAAAGTTATTATGAAGAACGGGAGTGATAGACTGAAGTATCAAAGATGTGCTCCACGTTCAGCTCTGACAGTTGCTAGCAGTTTCAGCTTCTAAAAAGGAGTCTGAGTAAGGTGTTACTTTAAAGCCTGTCAAATTGTTTTACTAAATGATATTCCAAGTGAGATGCTTATCTTGTGTATATTTAAATAAAATTTTTATGAACTTGTACATTTATACGGTATTTGATGGCAACTTTGGTATGCCCTGAACATTTGAGAACTTTTTTGACATAGGCTTTTGTATTTTTTTTTAAAGAAATAATAACCTTTTACATTTCCTTCAGTAAAGAAACAAAGATATTTAATGAAGCTAAGTTCTGATTTTTTTTCTTCTCTTACAGCCACCAGAGAGAGAAGGTGGATTACCGCGTCATGTTGGCAATAAAACTGAATGTGCCCTGCTGGGGTTTGTTTTGGATTCAAAACGAGATTATCAGGATGTAAGGAATGAAATCCCTGAAGAAGCTCTGTACAAAGTCTACACATTCAACTCGGTTAGGAAATCCATGAGCACTGTCTTGAAAAATTCTGATGGAAGCTACAGAATATTCAGCAAGGGAGCATCAGAGATCATTCTTAAAAAGTAAGACCAGTATAGAATTAATCATGTCGTCATGATGTAATGTGAATTACTGGATTGGTATTGTGTGTGTACATTGGTTATTTGATGAAACCACAAAGCTATTACCTATGTCTCAGTACATTATTATTTGTTTATCCAAAAATGTACTGTACTTTGTATGGTCCATACTAGAGGTGTCAAACATATGGCCCTTAATAATCTTGAGAGTGGCCCAAACCAGATTCAAATGTAACTGGGGAACATTTAATAAAATAAATACAGTAGAACCCCGATAACATTACTGTGTGGTTTTCTAAGTCAATATGCACCCACAGAGATCTTTATGTACAGTTTAGTGGCCCCCATGTGTATCTGAGTTTGACGCCGATGGTCTTTATTTAAAAATGCTTCTCTCTGTTTCTGATATGAAATGGAAGAGTTTAGCCAGCATCGCATTGGTGATCTCTTAGACAACCACATTTGGACTTCACTTTTCTACCTAAGCTGCTATTTGGAGATCTGGCAATAGAATTGAAGACTATTGAGAAGATAAGGTAAACCTGACTCGTTATTATGGAAGAAATATAAGCTTGGAGACCTTAAAGTGTTTTTAACACTCTTGATCAATTTTCAGTAATACTTCAAAGAGGGAAATATTTCAGAAAAAGAAAACCAGTATCATTACAAGAAAAGCCATTGAGAAGATGTTGGTTACCCATCCTGATATCTATTTCTTTCCTCTCTCTGAAATTTGAGATTTTGTTCATACATGTAAAAAAGAATGAAACTACCCCCAAACACTGAAAGAAACTTCTGTAAAATATACGAAGTTGGAGAAGGGTTGGCCAGGCATGCGCGTGCGCGTGCACACACACACACACACACACACACACACACAAACACACTCCTGCTATAACTATTGTTTGTTGATTGAAAAATCAGCAAATACAGCAAAGTATGGCTTTAAAGACTCTTCCAGAAAGATGTCTCCCATGCATATGGTAAAGTCATACAAAATTCTGTGACAGATGAAAGCATGGTGATATCCTCTCCCCACCTTTTTTGATACTCTGTTAGTATCAAATGAAACATAAACCAGAAAGACATATGATTAACATTTGTGTACTGGAATCATGGGAAAAGTCCTGAACTAAGCCCAAATAAATGAGGACTCTATCAGTGGAGAAATTGCTTCACATGGTGCCTTGCTCATACACCAATCCATAACGATTTTTATGGGAATCAGAGCTTAAGAGATAAGCCTAAGAGTTACTTAATACTTCTAGAGAGATTTGAAATTAGATTTGAAATCAGATCTTCCTAACTCCAGGGCCAGTGCTCTTATCATTAGGATATTGTAACTGCATATGATAAATGTTTATTTAAGTCACATGTACTTGCATGCTCCTGTTTGGGGTGATACTGTGCTGATTTCATTTTGTCTTGAAGCCCCTATAAGGCCTCCTCAGTGAAATCTCTGATCACTTGAAAGAAATCAGCTTAGCCTTCCCCCATAGAAAATAGAGTTGGATTGAAGCTGTGGGTAGGGTATATGATATTTGTATGTGAGAAATTGGCACAAAGGACATCACTGTGGTATTGAGTAGAAAGAATTGTAGATAGATTCACAGAGGACTTGGGTGCTAATCTCCCCCCTACATTGTCAGCCTCCATGGCATCTGCAAAGTGGGAATAATCACGATGAACGCAGACATAGCAGACTGGCCTCAGGCAAACCCATGCTGCTTGCCAGCTGTGTGACCCTGGGCCAGTTACTTATCTCAGTACTTGGGGTAATTCCCTCAGTACTGTAAGTTGGAGAGCTGGTGTCAGTCTGCACAGAAGAGGGAGTACCCTCCCACTAGTTAAATCACATATCAGAAAACAAAAAAAGCACTTTATTGCCCAGGGTTGTTGAGATTTGTAAAAGGCCTTTTATATTTTACTTCATTTGATCAACTGATATTACTGTGTATATGACCGGGAAAGGAGGTGTAGTGTGAGGAGTATCAGCTGGATTGACAGCCTGAGTGAGTGTGGCACTGTGACCCAGAACTCTCAAAAGGCCTCTGCCGCTCCTACGAGAGCCCCCCAGGAGGAGGACTTTGAGGTGCCACTCGGGAGGGGGTCCTGCATGAAGTACATCATCCAGATGAAGTGTTAATGACCCAAAATTCTCTTAAGAAAAGCTCATTTCCATTTTAGCATCACATTAAAAGGCAGATCTTTATGTGTGAGACAAACATCCACATGACATACATTCGAAACATTGCAGAAAAATCATGCTGTGTCTCTAGATTCTACATCTATAAGTACAAATAAGCATACAGAGATGTGCTTACCTTTATATGCTGTATAGCTATTTAAGAGGCAATAGGCCATAAAATGGAGAGGCAGTGCTGGGTTTGGAATCAGGAAGGTTGTATGTGCATCCTGCCCTGGATCCTACACTGGATAATCCTGAGCACGTCCTTTATCGTAGCACCTACCTCGCCAGGTTATTTTGGTTTGCAACGATGTTCATGGAAAGCATTTTGGAATCTTTAAAACGCTGTAGAAATGTTCATTATGTTAAGCTGCTATGGTAGAACACTGTAGCTAAGAACTGTCATCCATAACAGTTGTTTTTGGCCCAAAAGTGATTGCTCATCTTTGGTATTTTTATAGTAGATTTTATAGCATATAATCCTTAGATCACGTAAAGTCTGTTGCAAGTTCCTGTTCCTCATAAAAAAAAACCCAACAACCAGTTTTTCCTTTTGTACTTAATGCAAGTTGGTATGAAGCATTTTTCTTTAAAAAAAAACTTCTTAAGTACAAATGTTGCAAGTCATGGGTTCAGCTACTTTTTTTTGGGGGGGGTCATTCAAGAGTATGGTTTACCAGTGAACTTATTGAGAAAAACTGATAGAATCAAAGGAAATTCTATCTATTTATCTATCTACTTATTAATTTTTAAGCTAAAGGCTGCTAATGTGTACCCTGGGACACTTACATAATTTCCCCTCATTGTAGAATGAGCACTGCATTTTTACTAGTCAATTTCCAATTTTTATATCTACACTGTCATCTAGGGACAGATAAGATCCATAGTAGTAGGGGTACATTCAGTTTTTAAAAGATTGTTCTTTGATATTCTAAACTGGACAAATACTCACAAACATCAACATTTCTATATACAAAAAAGAACAGAATCTATTGCTTGTAGCTTTTATTTTTAAAATTATAATAAATTCAGCATATTAGTTTCAAAATTGTCTCATTTGACTATGCCTCCATTTAAATTGCTTTTCTTTGCATTTTTTAAATGTTTCAATGCCTTTCAGGCATCTTCACTAGCCATCACGTCTTCCCCTCTCCAAAACCTCATCCTTCTCCTCCCCTGCTAAATAAACTATTCCCTGTAACAAGTGAGCACAGATAAGCCAAACAAATTCATATGTTGGCTGTGTCTCATTCTGCATCTCTAGCTCTTAATAGATAGTATGCTTCATCATTGGTCTTCATTGTGTGGATCATAGCCTTAAGTGTTTCAGGGTTCTTGACAGTAACAGCCCATGTGGAAAAGGGACCAGCCATCTTCACCAAATGTGGACCAGCTGCTGCCAGCAGGCAAGCAGCCTAACTGAAGTGGGAAGCCACCTTGAGGGAGAAGAAAGATGGCATGGCCCAGTTGAGTCATACTTCCACCACTAGTTCCCCATGGAGATAACCTTGGACCAAGAGGCCAAGAGCCCTTGGGGCAGTGCCTCCAGACTACAACCTTTGCTTCCAGGCTAGCACAGAGAGCTATAATTGAGGAGAGCAACCCTTCAGGGGAATAAACCCACCGTCGTCAACACTGCCACCACCAACCTACTGATCAGTTGTCATTGATGGGCAGGATTAGCAGCACCCCTGCAGACCACTGGTCATGCCTTCAGAGAAATAGCTTTTCTGGAGAAGGAGGCAGCCATCCCTGCCAGTTGTTGACTAGTTTCTACCAGTAGAACAGATAAGTCAGACTAGCTAAAGCCTCAGAGCATCCTAAGAGAAGAAACAGAAGGCAGCTTGTGCTAGGAATGTCCAGCTGCCACCGCCACCACTACCACCACCACCACCTCCCTTCAGACACGAGGAGAGATGGACCAAGCCCCTGAGCCAAAGAGCCCTGGAGACCATCTGCCTCCTTGGCATCCAGAGCTTACTGTGGTTTTATCAGAGGAAATGACATGAAAGAAGAAAAACACTATCTGCTTTGCCCTTCTACCTGAGGGATCGTGGGGCTTTGGCAGCGTGTAACACCTCTGTTCTTTCTTTTTAGAGAAACAGGCAGAGACCGCCTTCCTTTTACATTTAGATCCCTAGCACTTCGCACAACATTTTGTACATAATACGTGCTAAATAAATGCTTTTTTTCATTTATTCATTTTTTTCCGTGTTATAGAAATTATTCACTTGGTTCTGCTCATTTCATTCTTCCCAAGTTAATCTGACTTCATTCCTTTCATTATTTCTTACAGAGTGATAACAAGCTATTGCATATGTATACACAACTTGTTAAACCATTCCTTGAGGGTCACTCCCTAGGACTCCACAATCACAATGGCTCAAAGCCCTCAGTTCAGAAGATTTCTAATAGGCAGAGGTTTGACTCTGGACATAAGCCAGAGTGATGAAGGTAAAAACCAAGTGACCAGAAAGACGAAAATGAAGAAGCAGAAGGGTCTGTGAATAAAGAGGCATCAGGTAGTGAGGGAAGAACAGGTTTTTTCTTGGGATGTCCCTCTTCTTTTAAAAGGCAGTGGTGTCAGCCCAGGTTTCTGCAGGAGAGTCCATCCTGGATCCATCCCACCAGGTTCTGTATGCCTCCTTCCTACCTTCTTGTCATCCTTTCACTGGTTTTTCCTGCCGCCTTCAAAAGTCCCCTGAGTACCAGCTAGCCAGATGGTTTGATAAAAGCCCCAGAGGGTATGACCCAGCCCCATAGCAAACCAAGAATGATCATCCTCACCGATAAAGACTGGTTCAGGGCGGTTCTGGGCCAAGGGGACCTGAAATCTCACCTGGCAAAATAGTTGTCGTCTTATGTTCTTTTTCAAATGCCATGAAAGTGAATGAGCACTCACTGCCTCAGTAAGGTCCTAGCGAAACAAACATGGACAGCGGACAGTTGATTTTGCTTGACAGTACTTGGTTACTTACTGTGACTTGGGGCAGCTAGGTGGGGCAGTGGATAGAACACTAGGCCTGGAGTCAGGAAGACTCATCTTCCTTGGTTCAGATCTGTCCTCAGAAGTGTCAGTGATAGAAACAGAGCATCTCTTTTAGAAAACAAACTTCAGTCAGAAAAAAGCAGACCTAAAAAGTATTGCTTGGAGAGCCTTGCAGAATTCCAGGCCCCAGGATATTTCAAGCAAGCTCAAATTGAAACCAATTTCATAAAAGGGTGGAATTCCAGAGGTCAAAGGATACCTTAGAAATGATCATTTTATGGGTGAAAAGGCTGATACTCGGAAATCTTGAGTGATTTGTCACATAGCTAGTTAATGGCTTAACACATTGCTTAAAAGTTTACCCAACATACAGGATTTGGCTTTTATCTTTATTTATGCGTGACCCTTTTACATTTTTTTGCAGATGCTTCAAAATCTTGAGTGCTAATGGTGAAGCAAAGGTATTCAGACCAAGAGACCGGGATGATATTGTTAAAACTGTGATTGAACCCATGACATCTGAAGGACTAAGAACTTTATGCCTTGCATTCAGAGATTTCCCAGCAGGAGAACCTGAGCCAGAGTGGGATAACGAGAACGATATTGTCACAGGCCTAACATGCATTGCTGTTGTAGGGAGAGAAGACCCTGTGAGACCCGAGGTAGAGAATGCTTCTGTCAGTTCAGTTCACCTGCCTCTTAGGGGGACAGTTAAAGAGCATGATCGCATCATCAGTTTTTAAGTGAATTTTGGGAGTATGACTATTTAAAGCTCTTATTTCTTTGGAGTCAGGCAAAGGATGGTTTGGAAATTGTTGGTTAAAAAGTTCCATCTTTTAAAGTTGTTGATGTGTTTTCAAAGCATTAGGCAGATTGCTTGTTTTTGAGGTGATTGACGATACACATATACTTCTTACTGTACTCAGGTTATTTCTTTTCTTCATGGGTTTTGTTCCATGGGTTATGAGTACATATAGATACTATTGACTCTTTTCCCCTCCCACACCACACTAACGACTTCCCCTTCAGACTAAATTGAAAGCTTGTCAAGTTTTACAGGGGGAGGCGATCTTTGCCTGTCTTTGTCCTTTACAATGATGGTGCGCTGCTAACATGCTCTTCCTATTAGGACAAAACATTGAAGTTTATTTGATTTTATTTAGCATTTCAGAATGAAAGTTCTTCAGGTTTTTTTTTTACAAAGTGTATTTTTAACATGAAAAGTTTTCTTCATGTGGATTGCTTGTTTTACCATCTTAGAATATGAGAATTGAGTATGTTAGTAGGTGAAAGGAAAGGACAGTCCCACTCTTCATAAATTAATTATTTATAAGATTTTAATTCCAAAGCTGTGTCTTCCTTCTCTACCTATTCTCCAGCATGTTCTGGGTGGGATTACTATGAATTATTTTCTGGGGCAATGCAAATTAATTGCATATTTATCAGGAGGGTAAATATGCAGCAACCCCCCAAAAATCATGTAGCTTCAGAAGCTAAATACAGATGACTTTTTATCTGTTTTACTTCACTTTTTATTTCTTTTACTGTTTTATTCTACTTTGCTGATGTCGATAATCAAATCTGAACACTGTCAAAGATTAACCAGTATAACCATTCGCATACATGATCTCTAAGCTGGACCACAACTCATGAAAAATCCCTAGGAGTCATTCTCATTTAAGTTTTAAAATTTATAAGTCAGCTAAAATCAGTGCATGTAAAGCCAACATCTTGAAGAATTAATTATTTTGTATTACAAAACCAAGGTTTTATATAGTGATTGGTTTTAAATTTTCATTATTTGAGTGAGTGTTGTAGCAGCACAGACTTTTAGATAAAATTTTTGCTTTAGGAAGTACAGCATCCTTGTGTGCATATTTAATGTGGATATGTGCATGTGAGCACACATATACAGTTGATATACACAAACATTTTGATACTTCTGTGGACCTGTTATCTCATGTGGAATTGGGTACTCCCTGTAATAGTTTTGGCTACATGTATGTGTAATGATGAGATTCTTCCATGCAAACCAGGTACCAGAGGCAATAAGAAAATGCCAGCGGGCCGGAATTACTGTGCGGATGGTCACTGGTGATAATATTAATACTGCTCGTGCTATTGCTTCTAAATGTGGTATTTTGCATCCTGGGGAAGATTTCCTGTGCCTAGAAGGTAAAGATTTCAACAGAAAAATAAGGAATGAAAAAGGAGAGGTAGGTTGTTTGAGTCCATCATTGAATTTATTCTTAATAATTTTCAGCTAAGGCAATGATACTTGGCAAATATTTATTGCCACCTATGGGCAATAAATACATTGTTCCAGGCACCATAGAGGTAGGAAAGATAAAGGAGACATACCTCTGTCCTTTAGCATCTTCTGTGCTAATATTAAGGGGAGGTAAAATACCTACACAAATAATGATATTATTTTGCCCAACTGGTACTCTAGCTTAGGTGGGAAGGTCGCCAGAGGGAGAGGTCCAGTACAGTTGTGGAATCAGGGAAGGAGCATCATGGCAGAGGCATTTGAGTTGGACTGGAAAAGACATTGGAGATTTCATCTGCTAGACTGTGGAGGGATGGGGAGGGAAGAAGATGATGCATGAAACCAACAGCTAGGAATACTGGTTGGGCTACAAAGGCTACAAGGGTCAGGCTTGCAGAGATTGGACTTTGTTCAATAGGTATTTGGAAAAATGTAGTTGAAGTTTTGAAATTGAGAAAGTGATCCAGGCTGTATAATATTATCTGGGGAGTGGAATGGAAGGTAGACTGGAGGGGAGAAAAAATGGGCAGCTGAATGGCCACTTAATAAATTAGCATTGGCTGGTTTTAACCCTGATTAAATTTGCAGGTTGAACAAGAATGCATAGACAGGATTTGGCCAAAGCTTCGAGTACTTGCTAGATCATCTCCCACTGACAAGCACACACTGGTTAAAGGTAATCAGGCTTTTAAATAAAAATGCTTAGCATTTCAGATGATTAAAAGTATAGTATTTATTTTTTCTTAGTCTTATTTAATATTCTATTTTTTCCCAATTACATAGAAACACAATTTTGACATTTTTTTAAAAAATGTTGAGTTCTAAATTTTCTCCCTCCCTCCTCTCCTCCCCACTGAGAAGGGCAAGCATTTTGATGTAGGTTATACATGTGTAGCCATGCAAAACACCAGTGTTTCTGAAATAGTAACTTTTTGGATACTAAGTAGGTTGTTGATTCTTAAAACTAATTTTTTCTTTGCTGCCCCCAAAGAAACCAATTCATTTTCTTTGATAAACTAAACTATGGTAGTTAATAGTAATCTTTAATTATGCAGCGTGCTCTTAAAATGTTGTCCATTCTCAACGTTAGTTTGTTTGGAATTTGTTTGGCATTTTGGGTGACTGTTCTTCTGACAGCATAAAACATTTGCATTATAGGCTGGAAGACAGTAACCTTGTGAAGTAAAGAAAACAGTTTTAAAAGTACTAATTTTTGCTTCATTTTAGGTATAATTGATAGCACTGTCTCAGAACAGCGACAAGTTGTAACTGTGACTGGTGATGGTACTAATGATGGTCCTGCACTAAAGAAAGCAGATGTTGGATTTGCTATGGTAGGAATTTAAAGGGTGTTGATGTTGAAATGTAACATATCGGTTGGCATGCTGGGTGCCAGTTATTTTTATTGCTATTAACCCAGTTATTTCCATTTTTAAAAATTATTTATTATTTCTTTTTTTCCCACCCCCTCCCCCATCTGAAAAATTAAAAACGAAATCCTGGTAACAAATAAGCATGGTCAGCAAAACAGGTCTTCCTATTGGCCATGTCCAAAAATGTGTCTCATTCTGCATATTAGTCATTTAACGTATATCAGGCATCTGCTATATGCCAGGCACTGTGCTGAGCACTTGGGGCACAAAGAAAGGCTCGAAAAGGTCCCTGCTCTGAAGCAGCTCACAGTCTAATGAGAGAGATGCCGTGCAAACAACTGTGCACAAACAAGATATGAGCAGGATGGACTGGGGCCGATGTCAGAGGGAAGGCGCGCAGATTAAGGAGCACTGGAGAAGGTTTCTTCCAGGTGGTAGGATGTCAGCAGGAGGCAGAGATGAGGGAGAGAAGTCCAGGTATGGGGGACAGCCAGTGCAGATACCTGCAGGTGGGAGAAGGAGTGTCCTATGCAAGGAACCAGTGTTTCTGGATCCCAGTGTAGGTGGAGGGAGACTGGAAAGGTAGGAAGGGGCCAGGTGATGAAGGGCTTTGAAAGCCAAATAGGATGATATTTGACCCTGAAGGTGGTAGGAAATCACTGGAGCTATTGAAGAGGGAGACGATGAGGTGAGAAAGAGGAGTTTGGCAGCTGAGTGGAGGGTGCAGTGGAGTGGGGAAAGGGACCCACCAGCAGCTGTTGCATCACTTCTGGAGGGGATAACGCTCTTCATCCTTGGTCTTCTGTGATCATGACTGGTCATGGTACTGTTGATCAGAATTCTTGAGTCTTCCAAAACTGTTTATTGTTACAGGGTTGAACTGTCTCTTCTTTTTCACATCCTCTTAGTATTCCATTTTACTTTTATACCATAATTTGGTCAATACCTCCCCAATTGATGGACACTCCCTGAGCTTCCTTTTCTTTGCCACCCCAAAAAAAAAAGGCTCTCATAAATATGTTTGTCCTCTTTTGTTAATCCCCTCGGGGTATAGGCCCAGACTGCAAGGCATCCAAAGGTTATGCACAGTTTGGTAACTTGGGGAGCATAGTTGTCTTCTACAAACACTTCCTATTAACAGCTCCACAAACAGCATCAAATGGGCCTGTTTTCCCATAGCCCCTTTAGCATTTTAAAACTTACAAGTTGTTACAAGAACAGAAGGGGGAGCGGAGTTGGATCTGTGAGATGTAAAAGTTGAATTCACAGGATCATAGAGCGGAGGTCCTGGGGAGGGGACTTGACAGCGGTCACCCAGGCATTAACTGGCAGAATCTGGAATCCGATCATGATCATCTCCAAATGCAGCACACCTTGCTTTTGTATTGTGTGTATGAACGTGAGAGGAGGGAGACAGGACCATCTAAACACTGCGACAGAATAGAGCAGGGGTTTGCTACGGTCGCAGAATGTTCCAAAATGGATGGGGCCTCTGTGTTCCTCGGTCTGGACCATCTGCGAAGAGGGATCTTTCTCAGCAGTTGACATGGTCATTCCGTAGGGGCTCTCTAGTCCTAGGTTTGCCTCACTGTACATCTGTAATAATGTCTTTGTTGGGTTTTTGCCATTGAACTGCTGTGCCCGATTCACGAAACACTTGTGTGCTGTGCTGCTTTCCCTATTAGGGAATTGCCGGAACTGATGTAGTGAAGGAAGCATCTGACATCATTCTTACAGATGACAACTTCACGAGCATTGTCAAAGCGGTCACGTGGGGACGAAACGTTTACGACAGCATCTCCAAGTACCTTCAGTTCCAGCTCACGGTCAATGTTGTGGCGGTGATTGTTGCCTTCACGAGAGCCTGTATCACTCAGGTTGGTGTGCACAGCTTGTGGTTTTGTTTGGTTTGGTTTGGTTTGGTTTTATGGGGCTTCTTTCTTTCTTTCTTTTTTTTTTTTTAAAAGAAAAGTACAATAACCACGGTAACAAGTTTTGATGCCGTGTTGCTTCTTACATTGTAAATACTGAAAAATGTCAACACACATTTCTGAGTTCCAGGATATTTCTGAATCTTTCTGAGAAAACCTGTCTTTTTATAGGACTCTCCACTTAAGGCCGTGCAGATGCTGTGGGTAAATCTCATCATGGACACGCTGGCATCCCTCGCTCTGGCAACTGAACCACCTACTGAATCTCTTCTGCTCCGGAAACCTTATGGTAGAAATAAGCCTCTCATCTCTCGCACAATGATGAAGAATATCTTGGGTCACGCATTCTATCAACTTGTGGTAGTCTTTACCCTCTTGTTTGCTGGTAAGATGTTCAGCTGTAGCAAAGCTTCAGTTAATGTATTCCTATTCTAACTGAATATCCATCCCTGATGTGTAGAATAAACTTTCTAAGGCATTGAGCCTTAAAATTCCTGCTTTTAGAAAGCAGGCACTTTTGAAATGTTAACTTATCACCATCTCCCTTGAGACCAAACAAAGGATTATTTATCAAAATAACTTCCACACCTAACTTAAATGCGTTCAGTGTGTTTTATGTGTGATTGCAAAATGGCATTTTTTTATTATTTCAGGGGGAAAATTTTTCGATATTGACAGTGGAAGAAATGCCCCTTTGCATGCTCCACCTTCAGAACATTATACTATTGTGTTTAATACCTTCGTGCTCATGCAACTTTTCAATGCGATAAATGCCCGAAAAATTCATGGCGAAAGAAATGTGTTTGAAGGAATCTTCAATAATGTCATGCTCTGTACAATTGTTCTGGGCACTTTTGTGGTACAGGTAGGTGGCTGGGAGGGCATTTCCCAACTGGATTATTGTATCAGTGATAGCTGATTGGTAGGCTTGTCATAAAAGTGACCTCCAGATGACAGCCATGCCCCTCTTAGCAAATCTTCATTGTGCTGAAAAACTAGTTTAGGTTAGCCATTGTAGAAATCTGACCTACTCTGAAATTCCGCATTTTTGAAAGTTGAGTCGAATTTGTTTGGGTATTCCAAGTGCGAAGTGTGTCTTCATTCCAGTACTGACCCTGGAGAGATACTTGATGATCTCCATATGAAGCCTAGCCTGATCATATGTTCTGCATCATCAGTATTTTTTACTGTCACGGTTTTGCATTTTTGCTGTTTTCCACACCTTTGAGGTCATTTTTAAAGTTGCCAGTGCATTTTACATTTTGAAATGCTATTATCAAAAAAATAAGCCTTTTTAAGGGAAATAAATGTTATATAAATAGGAAAAATAGAAACTTTCCCCACTTTTCAGAAGAAATTCTGAAATAAGCAAAATGTCATGACTTTGTATGTAAGAGACATCATTTACCGATCTAGATTATGTATGTCTTTATGTAGCATTTAGCCCTGTGACATTTTTTGCAAATGATTGTTAGTAGTGCTGTTCTGTTTTATAGATGACAGTCTGGGCCCAAGACAGATATTAAGTGAATTGTGCATGATCACACAGGAAGTCAGTGAACACAGTACGATTTAGAATTAAAAAGTGAGCCTTTTCAGCAATAGAACCAGCCTTCTTAAGTGTTCTCAGTAATTACCAGTAATACTAAGTAATTAAAAATAAAGATTTAAAAATTTTTTACTGTTTATACCATTTACTATTGTACTTTGGGCACTGGAAAATAACTTTATACAACTTTATTTAATATTAATTTGGGCTTGTATCAATCAGCATGGAGGAGATGCCCCTTCTTTGCAAAAACATTTCCATGAAAATATTCCCTATAAGTTTAGAAAAATTGTGTCCACATCATCATAAAATGTGAACTTAAGTTTCTTGGCATAACAAAAAATTTGTATTTAAATTTGCTATACTTTTTTTTTAATTTATTTTTTGTCATAAGAACTATGAGATTCAAATGTGTATGTATGCCATTGAGGAATCTGGTATCTTACTTTCCAGCTGTGGTCAGTATGTATTGTGCAAAAAGATATCGAAATCTAAAACATGCCCCAAATACACTTATGAAGTCACTTTTAAAAATGAGGTTCATCTCTTCTGCCATTCATCAGCTATGCAGTTTAAAAAAAAAAAAGCAGGATGCCGTGGCATTTATGGTTCAGTAGGTATAGCACTGGGCCTGGAACCTGGGTTCAGATTCTCCCCTAGCTACTAGGAGCCATGTGACCTTTGGCAAAACACTTAGCCCCTCTGAGTCTCAGTTTCCTTGGCTGTAAAGTGAGGATGAGAACACTAGCACTGCTTACCTCTCTTGGTTTTGGGTAAGCTCTTTGTAAATCTGATGATGCTCCCTGCCTTCCCAGGGGGCACTAGGAGGATCACATGAGATGGTGTTGGTTGTTGGGAACCGTAAAAGGGCTATACAAATACCCATAAATCAGGTAACCTCTGGGAGCCTGTCACCTCTCCTAAACAATGCATGGGGTGAAGTCTGTACCAGGACATAGAGTTTCCATATTGGGAGTTTCTGAACCATTAAAATATATGCCCTTTTGACATATTCCAACACTAAAATAAGAGCTATTTTTGAATGAACAACTATACATCTTTTTTCCTTACATACTTTAATAGGTTTAATCTATAAATATAGCTATTTCTTTGTATGCTTTGTTAATTTAAGAAAAAAAGCTTCAGAAGAAAAAACATAGTGTTAAGTTAAAGTACCACAAATGTAGGAAAGTGTTGTTGTATAGGATTTCGTTTGGGTTGTATACATCAATCCAGTCTTGATTTAATTACTAAGAATTAGGTTTTCGTTTCTTCATTTACATTCCCGTTTTTAAAATAGGCATGTAACTCAACTTGGTGAGAGAGCATTATCACAGATCAATATTCAGTACAAATATTATGGTTTTCCCAAATGCTTTTTAAACTACATCAGTAACCACCTACAGCAAAATATAGACTACTTTATTGTAATTAGCATCTTCTTTTTAGAAAGATTTTGAGAGAAGAGTTGGGGGGTTTTTTTCTTGGGTTTTTTTTTCAGTTTAGAAGAAAAACAATTATTTATTTAAAAGAGCTGAATATTCCTTTAAGAAGAGAATTGTTTATTAAATAAATCTGTCTGATTGCTCCCCCAGATAATAATTGTGCAGTTTGGTGGAAAACCTTTCAGTTGTGCAGAGCTTTCAATAGAACAGTGGCTGTGGTCAGTATTCCTAGGAATGGGAACATTGCTCTGGGGCCAGGTAAAAATCTCACTTTTATTTGTGTAAGGCTTTAAATCACTTTAAATTTTTTTGCTAGTGTTTTTTTTTTTATTAACTGTGTCTACTACTTGATTCCAGGTAGGTGTCATTCTGGGAATCTGTTTCACAAAGATTTAAGGTCTGTTTCAGTTTCTCACTTTGTCTTCACAGTGAATATGCCTATGTATGGACTGAACCTGATTTCATTGGTATAGGGAACGCTGCAGATAATAAAATCCCTTCTACCAATGCAGGTCAGCCCATTCTCTGCCACTTCTATAGGAGAGAAAGAGGTTATGATTTGCCGAGGGCCAGCTTGTGTCCAAGGCATTAGACCACACTGCTGCATGAATTTATCTATATTTTTAAAACTTTCTAGGCTTCTCTACTGAGAATATAAAAGCAGTTTATGGAACGAACCTTACTGAAAATCACTGAAAATGAGCTTCTGAGTACCTATGACACTCAAATTGTTAAATTATTTTGTTTTAGTGACTTTTTTTTTCCTATTCATTTACAGAAGTAGTAATGAATACTGAATTAATGTTTAGGTCCTGTCTAGTCTGAGGAAGCTAAAAAGAAATGCCAGGCTATGCTAAAGTTTTTAATGTGTTTCTGTTATGTCATTGCTTGTCATTTCCCCCCCCCAAAGGCATAGATGAAAATGTTATTTGTAGTTTAATATTTATTCTGAATGTTCAGTCAGTGTCCTATTTTTCAACATAAACATATGTAAGGATTGTGTTAATCCATACAAGTTATAAGTAGCATGAGTAGCATTCTTGAACTACTTAGCTGCCCTCCACCAGCATTTATGGTTTTAGCTCACTTTTCTTTAAAGGCTTTTAACATAAGCATACATAATATATACATGCATACATGCACACACATACACACATACACACATACACACTCATGCATACATATATACGCATGTAGATACATGTGTGTGCGAAATAATCTCTATCTATCATGGTTTACCCTTTTTAAGTAATTTCAAAATCATCTGCCAGATAATCTACTCTTAAGTTGGAACTCAATTTCCTTTAGTTTTCCTTTTTGCTTTGGGTCACCGTCCTGGTGGTTCTCCCCAAGCCAAGCAACAGTCATCTTACAAAGAAAAGCCTTCTTCTGACCTTCCCAGTGACCTTACTGTATCAGGAATCCCACATACATTTATTGTTCTTGCTGCTTTGAGGAGTGGAGGGGCATGAATCTGTGTTATATACAATGCTTTTGCCAGTCTTAGTTTTTATCATCTATTCCAGTGTTTGCCAAGTCAGTTGAGAGCTTTTAGTTGCATTATTTTCTAGTGATATAATTTTTCTCTGCTGTTGAAAGAGTTTATGTGCATAAATTTGTTTTCACCTACGGCAAAGAGAACTACCACTGAATTTGCATTTTATTTGAAACAAAATATGATGTCATAGTATATTTGTAAAGTTTGGGACCAAAATTAAATGCTCAATTAAGTATAAAATATTAAACGTGTAAACTACATTTCTATCCATGTAAGAAAAGATAACAGTATTTCTAATTAATGATTAACTTATAACTTGGTTGGTAGGATCCTAGTAAGATCCTAATAAGAGGAGTAAGACATTTGTCATTGCATCTCCTGTGTAAAATTGACCATTTTAATTATATACTTGAATTATTCTTAGAGATCTTCCCCCTACTTCATAGCTCATTTCAACAATTCCAACTAGCGTTTAAAGAGATGGCTCTGCCAGGAGTATACTGGGAAATTAAGTTTCCTGACTCTTATCAGTATAGACCTTTCAAAAGTGAGTAGTAGCTAAGTCAGTGAATGTCAGCCTTAGGCTGGAATTTTACACAAGTTCTTAACCTGAGGTATGTACCCTTTTTTTGGGGGGGGGCGTATTAACTGTATTTCAATATAATTTATTTCCTCTATAATCCTCTGTATTTTATACCTTTAAAATATTATTTTGTGAAGAAGGCCATAGGCTTCACCTGACTGTCAAAGCAGGCCAAGACACAAATGCTAGGAACCCCTGGGCTAGAAGACCTTCAAACCCCCTGCTCTTTCCAATGCACCCTGAAATCTAACCTGAGAAACTACCAAAAGGAAGGAAAGATGTATGATGGCAAAAATTTAAATTAGGTAAGGAAAGTTAAAAGTATGCTATGTACTTTTTTTTTTGTACGCAATTGGGGTTAAGTGACTTGCCCAGGGTCATACAGCTAGAGTCTGAGGCCACATTTGAACTCAGGTCCTTCTGCCTCTCCATGGCCAGTGCTCTATGTACTGCACCACCTAGCTGCCCCTGCCATATACTTTTGTAGATGAAGGAAAAAGTTTAGCTTTCACAAATTCTGTAATTCAAAAGTGTATCATATGAAAATAGCTCCAAAAGAAAAAAAAATCACCAAGTTTCCTGGGAGGTCCCTTTCAAACAAAATCTCTCTCAAACAACTTGGTCTTCATTCTGGGTATGAATTCACAGCCCCTCCAAGACAGCCTCCCTCTCAGTCTGTACTTGGGAGAAGGCATGTTCTCTCTGCCATTTCACTACACCAATGAAATTAGGGGTCCTGCCCCAAAACGATCGATAAAACCATATTAAAGTATCTTCTGGAGAAAGCCAGGAACATCTTTCTTAACCACATATGGAGTCCATAGTGAATCCTTTCCCTCCAGAGGGTACGGGGAACAGAGCCAGAGTGAGTACAACAAGAGAATCTGTTGATTAGAAGCCAAATGAGTTCCTAAGGCCCTCACTTAACTGCCAAGTGGCACGGTCTGGTGTGGATGATTTTAGCTTCTGTGATAAGAAAATGCTAACATGAAGGTGCAAGGAAGAAGTGCAATGAGCATTTCTCAAGTTTTGGGTAAAGTTGCTCCCAAAAAGCAGTACTTGGACATATGTAAGCTGGAGGCCAGCATTGGTCTAGCTATCCCCAAAGTCTCTCAGAATGTAAGAGTGGGGATGATTTCATTCTTTGTAAATTCAAAGAAATCTCCAGTGTCTTGCAGTTCCTTCCTCCTTTGCTCTTGAAGGAGACCAATGAAATCACAATGCTGGGTCAGGATAAAGTGTAAATGGGTGGTGTCTTGACTTGCATGTGAATTGGATTTAACTGAAGCAGAGCTGGGCCAAGTCATCACCCTCACTCTCTCTTCCAGAGTCCCTGAAGAAGTCCAGTGGCAGGACAAAAGTCAAGATGACTGGCACTGGCCTAGAATTCAGTGGATGACTTTGGCATCTTCGATGTCTAACCAAGCTTTAAGCACTCCACGGTGCCTAGTCTGGCCACCTTTGTGGCCACTGGAACAAACAGTTTTCATGCTCCCATTCCACTGGGAGAGATCTTCACATGCCTGGAGTAGACAGTGCCCTAACTCACTAACTGGTTACCCTCAATTTGGTTTAGACCATCTGAAAAAAAAGTTTTACTTGAGTGCGGCCACTGCTCATGCTACAGCTTCTTGGAGTCACAGGTCAGAGGTGGGTGAAGATGGACAACCAGTGCTGAAAAGGGCATGGCAAGCCCCAAAGCCAGAGGTGCTAGTTCTCCCCGGACACCCCATACACTCCAGTGCCTAGCATACCTAACATCAGTGTTTGCTGATTAAATCTATCGATGAAATTCTCTTCTAGGGAATGGTCCTGTAGCTCTCTTTTCCCATATGATCCTGGTCCTCTTACCTTTGTGACCACTCTTTCCCTCTGTCTGCCCCCTAAATGTGGGTATCTCTCTGTTCTTCCTCTCTACCAGCAGTCTCATGGTTCAGTGAGTACTACCTTTGCAGTTTCCATTCACCACTGCAGAAGGCACCTCAGCTGACTGGCTCAAGAGAACACAAGGAGGCTGTTTCAGACAAAGCATCATATGGCTAGATGATTTGGAGCATGACGAACAAGGAGCAAATGTACCTCAGTGGTCACTCCTGACAAGGTAGAGCAGACTCGGCCATCTGGCTCTTCCTAAATCTGACATTCCGTTGCCCATTCCATCACCAAAGGGCAGGTGGTGGCATTTCAGCCTCTCTTCTTCCAAGGCTGCACTCGAGTGACGATCCAAACTGTCTATTCCTGCCAATGTGAGAACACCAGCGCCCCGGGTGCAAAGGCTTTCCTTCTGTTGTCCTTTCTGGGTCCCCAGGGCTTTGCACAGTCAGCTCAGAAATGTTTTTTGAATTTAAGAAGGCACAACTTATCCAGTTCTCATTTCAGCTGTATCCATGAGATAGCTGAGGGGACACCTCTCAATAAAAATGGTAAAAAACTCCGTTTTCCCATCAATGAACCACACACCAATATGATGACCCACCACAAAATCCCAAGAACAAAATCTTGCAATCAAGCAAAAACAACAGAAAGAATGATGGGCAAAACCTCTCTCTGGGACCCCCTAACAAACAAGAAAGTTCACAAGTCAGACTGATAGGAGTAAAATGGGGAGCCCCTGTCTGTCAGAAAACACCTGGACCATCAATCAGAAGGAGCTCAAGACCAAAAATGGGCAGAAGGCTATATACAATGGGCCAAGTTACTCACTGGACCCAACTATTTGGACAGAGAAAGAACAATGTTTGGGCTTCTTCATTTTTAGTGTTTAGTAGATTTGTTTGTCATGCTCTCCTAGGAGTCATCTCTCCTAGGCGGCTGTAACACACTTAGGTATTATCTAGTGCAACTCTTAATTTTTCAGATGAGGAAACTAAGGCCCAGAGGGGTAAAGGAAAGTGTCTGCCATTACACACGCAGCTGATAAGGGGCAGAGGAAGTCCTCTGACTCTCATACCAAGGTTCTTTCAACTACAGCCACATTTCATGTCAACCGACAACCGATTCAAATGTTTTCACCAAAAGATCCCCATAACTAATGCTAATATCAAGTTCTGATACAGAAATTAGTGACTGACTGTTGTAGTAAAGAGCCTGGCTTACAGCCAGGTTCCAGTCCTGCTTCCAACACATACTGTGTGACCTTGGGCAAGCAACATTTCAGTAAGAAACCAACTGTCTGAGCCTTCAGTTCTGCATTGGTTGAGGGTGTTTCCTCATCGGTAGCCTATACCAATAAAACGACAGGTTCACAGATGTATAGTTGGACAAGACCCCGAGTTCATCAAGTTAAACCACTCATTCCAGGTACAAGTTTCTAAGGCAGACAGGCCTCCAACATGATTGAGTGCCCAGTGGCTGGAAAGCTGACTATCCTCATTGTGTCTGGAGCTCTTTTACCTCTTTTCAACTTGGGGCGAAGTACTTTAGACACAGACTCTCAAACCCACACCATGGTACAAATAATCATCCAATCTCAAAGATCTCAGAGGCCTTCAAACTCTTCTCCCCCACATCCTCATCAGTCCCCAAACTCTGTCAACTCTACCTTAATGTTCTCTCCTGAACATTTTCATTCCACCACTCTAGCTCAGGCCCCATCACTTCAGATTGGCACTACTTACAGCAGCAGCCTTCTAAAGGGCCTCTCTACTTCTATCAAGTTCCAGTCCCACCAACCTGCTGCTTCCCACCACAAGACTGCTTATTCTAAAAGCGTCACTTTCATCACGTCACTTCCCTGTTCAGTAAACCTTCTATGACTGTCCAATATCGTCATGAAGAATTCCTTATTTTCAATCATTTCTCATTCATTCTTCCTCCATGCTTTTGTTCATACCATTTCTCCCCATGTTACACATTCTCCTCTTTGCTTAACTAACTTGTTTTCAAAGCCTGGTTTGAATCTCATTTACTCCTGAAAACCCTTCTGACCTCCCCCAAACAAAGCGATTTTCTAGCTTCTCTGAACTTTTAACAGCCCTCAAGTGTTCCCTTGACTTGGCACTCATTACATACTGGCTTGTACAATCAGTTACATTTTTATGTGTACAGTAAATTCTCAACTTCAAAATGAATAGCATTCAAAAAGGACATTGGTATGTAGGTTATTTGGAAAGAGTAACGGATTTTTCTATAGAAACAATGTTATGAATGAGGACTAGATTCTGAAGTTAGCACACCAATGTCTATTAAAACCAAAAAACATGTAACTGAAATGCTGTATGCTTGCAATGGAAAAAAATATATATACAATGAATTCAAAACTGCAAATAATGCAGAAGAATACAATTAAATCATCTGTATCCATATTTTTAGTGTTGTCAATGGGGAAAAGGATTTAATTTGAGGAGGATGAGGCAAATCAAAACATCTGCAGAGATTCTGGTGGGGACTTTTGGATACAACTTGTAAAGGTTGATAGCAACTGTATTTCTTTGATTTCAAAGCATACAGGTTGATGCAGGTACATCACTAGCACTACTCTCATGCTTATCAGATATGATATATGCAAAAAGCAGAGGAGAAAGAAAGAGCACCACACTTGGTAAAACACTTTTTTTTTTTAGGCAATTGGGGTTAAGTGACCTGCCCAGGGTCACATAGCTAGTAGTCAAGTGTTTGTACACTTGGTAAAACAAGCAATGACAGGGGTAAGAAGTTAGATCGTGGAGAAGAGATGCAGAGTTGGGCAATTTCTTAAAGTAATGAAAAAATAAAATCAAATACACAACAGTGCTCACCCCAGGCAAAGAGACATTACACAAAAGTTTAAAATTATCAGGTGCTATCAGCTCAAGAAAGTTTGTTTGCCACAGTGAGGGCTTCAGGACAGGGACTGGCATACAACTAATTGACAGGCTATACAGGAAAAATCAGAAGTTGAATTTTCATATTTTCGAGCATTTTAAATAT